CGCCCAGAGGGCTGGTGGGACTCTTGCCAGAGGTCGTCCCAGATAAACAGATAAATCTTGGTTGGTACTTCGCGCTTTCGCTGGGGTCCGTCTCCTTTCCGCTCGTCGTACCACGTATCCTCTCTTCACCTTCGCGGTGGTCATGGTCGCGGGCGCGGGGGTGCGCGCTTGGCTCCACCGGTTCAGCGGGTGCACGGCGGTACTGGCCCGCCACGCACGGGCCCAATGTCCAACGTCGGTAAGCGTGCGAGGACAGAAACGTTATTCCTCCTCCTCTCTTCTCTCTCCTCTTCCTCCTCCTCCTCCTCCGCCTCCTCCTCCGCCTCCTCCTCCTCTGGGATGACTGTCCTGGCACAGGGGATTTGCCAACGCGTGGACGCCGCTCGAGCTGTTGGGTCGGTCTGAGGTCGCAAGTTGATGTTCTGCCTCGGGGCCCTCGAAGAAACTCTCTCGGGTGGGTCGGGGGGCCGCCTGGCCGCATTGGACAATGGCGTTGGGGTGAGGGGTTGGGCGTCCAAGAAGGCAGGGTGCTTCCAGCAAGGGTGCTTCCAGCAAGGAGGCCCCTCAGAATGGCGTCCCCCCCGTGAATTCTCAGAAGGCTCCTCCCCTTGCACCATCCACTCGCGCGCGCGCCTTCTCCGGTTTCCTCGCGTGGTGCCAAAGTCTTCAAGCGAGCAGCTCTCCCGACCTCCCTAAGACGCGCTGGCCCGCAGACCACGCTGGCTCGGTGTCGACAGGCGGTCCGCGGGCCCGCCCGGGGCGCGCCCCCCTTTCCCCGACGGGCTCGGGCATCTCCTGCCCCGACCTGCCAGGAGGGCCTGTCCGGAGCCACGCAGCTCGCTCCCGCAGGGCCACGCGGGGCGCCAACTGTGCTTCGAAAGTGCCACGCAATGCCACACGCAGGGTCGCGAAGATGTTCGCGCCTCGTGGCCCAGGCCGGAGACTTGCCCTTCGCCAGCGGTGCTTCGCGAGTGTGCTAAGATGGCTGCGCGTCGCGCGTGACGGGGCGCGGTGCTCGAAGGAAGGCGGCCTCGACTACTCGGCAGGGTATCCAGCCATGCCTGCAGCACACATCCGCCGCGTCGGCCTCGTGGGAGGGCCGGGAGGGGGAGGGGGGCACGGGCGGCGCCGCCACGTATTTTGTTCCTGGCATGGAGGCAGACGAGTCAGGGACCCTGAAGCAAGATGGTGGCGCACGTTGGCCTCCATGCGACTCCCTGGGCCCAATGTGTGCGCGCCGCAGGACGGAAGGTGCAGCTCCGAGGAAGAAGGCCGCGGGCCCGTCACGCACCACACAGCGCGTTGCCGGGCCTCTGCCGTTCGCGCGGCCTCACGGCCGGAGCTATCGACTTTTGCCAGGGGCGTTCCAGAATTGGCCTCGCCTTCGAGGGATCGAGAAGTTCCGCTGGCGGAAGCCGGCGGAAGGCCCGCAGAAGCCGGCGAAAGTAGCAGAAGTTCAGCCCCAAGAGATGCCCACATTGTTAGGTTCAGGTTTTCCGGAACGAGCAAGTTCTCAGCCCACAGCAGCTTTTGTACTACCATCCCTGGCCAGGCCCATCCTGGGCCCTGGAATGGTGTGTAGACCCTGGTCGAGGCCATGAGTTCGTATGCGCCATCCCGGGGCACAGGATGGCCCAGGCCAGGGTTGCTGGTAGTATTTAGCTGCAGTTTCGTAATTATTGTCGCTTCGCGTATCCCCACCAGCGTCCTGGGTACAAGGCGTTCTCGTCCCTCTGGTGCTAGACGACTCGGTTGGGTAGCGCTGAGACACCTTAGTTGTGCATACTCCTCGGGGTATGCCGTGTATCGTGCACTTCGACGCCCTTCCACTCGTCGGATCTGGGCTGGCGCATCTCAGTTGTGGAAGGTACTCTTGTCATCATGTTCCACACCCTGGATGCGCTTTCTTACGTCGCGACCTGGTTCGCCGTCAGCTTTTTCCGCTGGACCTTGTCCCCAATCAGTCTGTGGTACCCGTCAGGCTCCCTGGATCTGTGTCCTCGGGAACTCAATGCTGGACGGCTTTCCGCCGTGACCCTGGATCAGTGGCTTTGACGGACTTGCTTGGGTATACGCGGTCTCGTCCCGCGTGTGCTCTCCGACTCGTTCTGGACAGCACTGAGACACTGTGATGTGCACACGCCGCGTTTCGGGCGTGTAGCGTGCATCAGGCGCCCTCCCACCCGCTGGGTCTGGGCTGAAGCATCTCGGTGTGGGAGCTTCTTGGCAACATTTTCACACTCTGATGCCGTTTCGGCGTCGCGGCGCGTTGCCGCCGTCGGGATCCCCGCTGGACTTACGTCTCCATTCGTCTGTGCTACCCGTCAGGCTTGGGTCGACGTCCTCGGGAACGTTCCTCTCGTTCGCACCTGGACGTTGGGAACGCCTCGCGCCATTTTCGCTGCGCTTGGTCTCCTCGGTGCCTACCCCAGGCCCGCTGGACGCACCGCTGCATGCCCGTTCAGGGGCTGTCTTTGGCTCCTGGATTGCATCGGCCCCGCCGCCCTGGACGCTGTCGTGAGCCGCCTGATCCGCGGCCCCGCGCGCGTTAGATAATTTAGTCGCGTCCGCGGCCCGTTCGCGACCTCCCGCCGCTGGCGCTTCCGCCTGCGGCTGTAAAAAAAGTATCCTCACCAGCTTGGCTGCGCTTACTTGCTGGTCGCCACCGGGATTTCCAACGCCACCGGTTTTGGGAGTATCGGTTTTGGCTCTCCTTCTGAGTGGCTGCCCGCTCGCTCGCTTCGCTTGCCTTTCTTTTCCTGCTGCCTAGTCGCGGCCCGACTAGTGTTCGGACGGCTCTCGACCCGCCTCGCTAGCCTCTTGACCCCAAATCCCCACCAGCCCATCCAGAAACGATGCCCATGAGAGCTGACGGGGGGAGAAAGGAAGAGACACGCATAGTCAAGCAGCGAGGGAGGCTGGCCTGGACGGCGTGTTGGGGTCATCTCCAGGCCCGCGTTGGGGCGGGGGGGGCGAAAAGGAGGAGGAGGAGGAGGAGGAGGCGGAGGAGGAGGAGGAGGAGGAGGAGGAGGGGGAGGAGGAGGAGGAGGGAGGGGGAGGGGAGGAGGAGGAGGAGGAGACACGAGGAGCAAGACGAGGATAATGAGGACGAGGATGAGGAGGCCGAGGACTAAGAGAGTGAGGAGGAGGAGGAGGAGGAGGAGGAGGAGGAGGAGGAGGAGGAGGAGGAGGAGGAGGAGGACGAGGGGAAGGATGAGATCGAGGAGGAGGAGGGGGAGGATGAGGATGAGGAGGAGGGAGGAGGAGGAGGAGGATGAGGAGGAGGAGGAGGAGGAGGAAAAATACGATGACGAGAACGAAGGATATGCACGAGAACGAGAGGACGAGGAGGAGGAGCGAAGGAGGAGGAGGAGGAGGAGGAGGAGAAACAGGAGGAAGCGGAGGAGGAGAAGCAGGAGGAAAAGGAGGAGGAGGAGGAGGGGAGGAGGAGGAGGAGGAGGAGGATAAGGATGAGGAGGTCGACGAGGATAAGGACGAGGAGGAGGACGATGAGGACGATGAGGACGAAGAGGGTGAGAACGAGACCGCGCCTTGCGTGCCTCGGGTGAGCTTCTTGGGCTTCTTGGGGGGCCGCTCAGGGGGGCCTATCGGGTGCCTCTCGGGTGCCTCTTGGAGGCCTCTTGGCTTATTGGCGGCCTCCTCCTGGGGAGGCTCCGTGGCCATTTCGAGCCGTCTTGGAGCGGTCTTGGGGCCGCTAGGAGCATCTTGGGAGTCATCTTGAGCCAGCTTGGGCCATCTTGGAGGTCATCTTGGGCTCTCTGAGGCCTCTCGGGGGCCTCTTGGGTGCCTCTCGGGTGCCTCTTGGAGGCCTCTTGGGGATTCTTGGGGCGCTCTTGGGGCTCTCTTGGGGGCCTCTTGGGAGCCCTGGAGGGCCTCATGGTGCCATTGTGAAGGCGGTCGGTCAAAAGAGGGGGGGTCCTCGATGTCTGCCCCCCTCTCGGGGGCCACGATCCTCGTGAGGGGTGTCAAACATTTGCCCTCCCACTGGCCGAAGAAGGAGCCTCCGACACCTCGCGAAACCTCGCAACAAAACCTTAAGGAAGGGGAGGGGGAGGGTTCCCCTCCCGAAGGGAAGAGGGTCTCTGGAGGAGGAAAGAGACCCTCCTTAGACCACCTGCCGCCCAGAGGGCTGGTTGGATTTCGACTCGGATCGCTGCCCGAATCGGAGCGAAGACGGCAGTCGTGAGCCCGGGGGTCAGGGAAGACCGACCTTCGGGGCCTCGGAGGCGATGCGGTTTGGTCCCAGAACGGTAATCGTGCCTTTGGAGGGTCAGTCGGCATTTCTGGGGCGGCGCCAACGGTCCACCTGCACCCAGCCTGGCCAGACCTTCTGTGGGCCCAGCACAGCCAGGAACGGTACAGGCGGACGGTTCTTTTCCTGATGCTCGGAGCGATACGATTTGGTTCAGGGCGCGATTCCCAGGATTCCCAGACCGCCGACGGGAGGTTTTATCACGTGAGCCCCAGAGGCGCTCGACCCCGTGGGGCTGTTGTCGCTTATGCAAAACACTGCTGAGGGATTACGCCGTCCACTGCTCACAGATGCCGATATGACCAAACGTTGGGTCAAAGTTTGGCCAATCCGTTGGAGAAGGAGGAGGAGGGGGATAGGGAGGAGGAGGAGCAGGAGGAATTCGAGGAGAAGGAGCATGAGTATTCGTTATATTCTATTCAACATTGAAGATTGAGGACACTTGCAGACCTGAGGACGCTCCATTCAGATATTCGCGGCACGGTTGCGGATTGAATAGGCCCCATAGCGAAAGATATCCCCCCCGATGCCAGAATTGCCAAACAAAGTCAAGTTGGTCATGATTCGTTTGTGCCGCCCCGAAATTCAGATTCTTTGAGTTGCATTTCCTGGGTGGCTCCATTGGCCACCAGCGTCTCAATACCTTGCCGAGTCCGTCGCAGTGGCTCCTGGATCCAGCTCCATAGCTCCTGCGTGGCCGCAGATCGAAAAAGAGACCTCGCACAAGCGTAAACTCTCGGAGGTCCGCCCGTCGTTGCACCTGGCGCGACAAGGCGTCCGCGCGAGACTTCGAAAGCTCGTAGATTTTCGTGTCGTAATTCCTCCCCTAACAGAAGGTCCCCGCCCGATCCTCAGCCCTCCTGGACTGTCGGTGCTGGGGCTTCCCCGCGCGACGCGGCCACGCGCCCGGAGCGGCCGCGGGGGGGGCTCAGGGCGAGGACCGCGCCGCGCGCGCTGCCTCCGCCGCAGCCGCGGGGGGCGGGAGGAACGATGATGTTGACGAGAATGCGGATGAGGATGATAAAGACTAGGATGCTGATGAGGATGATGAGGATGCGGATGATAATGAGGATGGTGATGATTATGGTGAGGGTAAGGATGGTAATGCGGATAGTGATGCTGATGATGATGACGATGGTGATGGTGATGGTGATGGTGATGGTGATAGTGGTGGTGATGGTGATTGTGAAATGGTGGTGATGACGATGTTCAGGATGGTTATGATGACGGCCACGACGACGTCGGCGACGACGACGATGATGATGTTGAAATTGATGATGCTTGTGATGGTAATGCTTATGATGATGCTGATGCTGACAATGATGATGCTGATGCTGATGTTGTTGCTGATGCTGGTGCTGATGATGGTGATGGTGATGGTGATGGTGATGGTGATGGTGATGGTGTTGGTGAGTATGCTATACTTGTGGTTGCTAGGTGTATATACGTATTATATATATATATATATATATATATATGTGTGTGTGTGTATGTTCCAGCCTCTCCTCCTGCGCCTCGGTCTCACCTCCCTAGGCCCTTGCCCTGCCGCTGCTCTGGCTCGCAGGGCCCTTGAGTTACTTGGCGCGCTGGCCGCGGGCGCGCGCGAGCCCCCGTAAAATGAACAACACGTGCTTTCTCATAGAACGGGACCCCCTATTTGTGCTACGTGTCTTTCTCCCATACAAGCCACAGTGGCAGCGGAACCAGTAGTTTCGATCCACATGGGGAGTCAGGTCGACTCCTCCCGCCATTCAATTCTCGGGTGACCTGATACCGCATATTCTCCCGTTCTTCCCGCTTCCCACCCTCTCTCGCCGAGCGCCGCCATGGACAGCCAAGCCGACGTTCAGCCACCAGAAAACGAATTTCCGGGTGATCTTTGGTTTCGACCAGGACAGGACCCATGGGCAGGAGGCAGAGGGCGAGTTGGAGGTTAGACATAACTGAGGGTTCTGCTCGCGCGCGTAGCCTCGCCCGCTCCTGCTCTCTGGCTCAAGGCCCCCATGGGGCCCAGTTTTTTGGGGGTCGGCGAACGGGGCCATAGCTAGCCTGCCCGGCTTGCAGCCAGGCCAGGCATTCCGAGGAGCGCCGGGAAGTGGCAGGGCCAGTTCCCCCCTCGAGTGTGGGCAACGACCTGAGGGGTCGCACAGTCCCACCTCCCGCCATGGTGAGGCCGCTGCATGGCCTCGAGTACACGATGGCCATGGCGGTCGGCGCAGTGCTGACGTGGCTGGACGCATCGCTCGGCGCGGGCCCGTGCGCCAGCTTCTCTGCGACGGCCGCAGTCTTGGGGCCCGAGGACGGTCACGCTCGGGCAGGCCCGGGTGAGAGCGATTCGGGCGAAGAAGAGGAACGCGCGTGGCGGCCCAGCAGAGAAGGCCAGCCTAGCTGCTCAAGCGAGGGTGGTGTGACGCCGCCAGCCACCGAGGAGCCGACGGCGCAGCGCGGGCCACTCTCGGCGGCAGCGACCCTCGCTGTTCTGGGTCCCCGGCCACGGATCCGCCTGCAGCCGGGGCCGATCCGGGCGAACGCCCCCAGATGCCTGGCCAGTGGGGGCACGCGGACGCCAGCCCCGCGGCGGCGCCCGTGCCACCATCGCCCAGCGAGGAGGCCAGCGCTACAGGGGCGGGTCCGGAACCGAGAGTTGGCGCGCCACAGGTCCACAGATCCAAACACCGCAAGGGGGCGGCGCGCTGGCAGGCGTGGTCACCCGCCTAAGGCATTCCGTCGCGGGCCAAGCGGGGCTGTTGGATGGCCGACCCCGACGCAGGCGCCGAGTGAAACGGGATCCGCGAAGTTAGCCCTGCGTGTCCCCGTGACGTCCGCAACCCAGACCGCAACATCTGAGCAGCGGTTTAGACAACGTTGTCGAGCGTAGCTTTAAAGAGATCCGAAACGACGGTGCGGGCTTTTGTATGGATGCTAGCGAGCGTGCATGTGCAGGCGGCTCCGGTCAGCTCTGCGACGCGATGGGTGGGGCCAACCGCGCTCCAGGGGCGGCTGTTTTTCTCGGCGGCAGGGCCGCCGCGCCGACCAGGTCCGCCAGGTACGCGAGTCGCCACTACCACCGCTAGGTAATCATATGTTACCCATGCCACTTATCATAGTTGAGATATGCCAATTCACGCAGTTTGCACTTTGCGGCACATAAGCAAACGCACTGCGCGTTAGGAGGCTCCTGCGCGTTAGCGCCACTCTTCATAGCCGCCTTTTGTCTGCGCAGCTTTGCTTGGTAACCTCTAGTGTCGTCTCATTCCCCTGAGTTGGAGACTCGGCGAGGCCGTGCGCTACGCGCGTTACTCTTCGCCCAGTTCATCCGTCGCTCTCATCGGCCGCGAGGGCCGCGGGGGGTTCAGAATGTCGCTTCGCGGGTGGGCGGGGAGTGCAGTGACATCAGTCATACCAGCAGTTGCCGGCAGACGGCGCTTGTTTGGTTGAAGAAATCGTTCGTGAAGGTCGCGCCCCCCCGACTCCCTCGAGCTCAAAAACATTACTATTACCGTTAGGTCGTTCCCGTGCAAATTCCTCCTCGGGAATTTGCAACGCCGCCTCTTCGGGCCCTCATGGGACGTTCTTGGGGCGCCCTTGGGCGCTCTTGCGGCCGTCCTGGATCCCTGTTGGGTTTTTTGGGGGAGCCCGGAACGGCCTGTTGAAGCCATGTTGGAGGCCATCGATCAAAGGAGGGAGGGCCCGAGTTAGGCTTCCCCCAACAAAAAGCTTTCAACATCTTCTATGTGGGCCCTTTTGGGGCGCTCTTCTGCCGTTGTTGGGCCGCTCTTGGAACCGACTGGGGGGGGCCTCTTGGGCCCCTCTTGGAGTTTTGTTGTTGCCATTTTGGGGCAATTTTGAGGCTTCGAAATCACAGCGGGAGCTAACAGGCGAGAAGGAAAACATGATTTCCCTTTGGTTGTTCCAGGATTTGGGCTTTGATGGGGGTCCAGAGTTGAGGGGGTTCCGAGAACACGTGGAACCGTCTCGGGGCCCTGGTCGGGCTTCGTGGAGGTATGACGGAATCTATATCGAGTCAGATTTGGTTATCTCGAACCGCGTCGGAGGCCATCTTGGAGCATAGGGGGCCCTTTGGGAAACAGTTTGGGCAAAGGAGCGCGTCGCGAGCCCCCCAGCAACCGCAGAGAGGGGAAGGGTACTCGTTCCCGAAGGGAAGATGGTTTCTGGAAGGGGATCGACAGAACCCGCTAGACCACTTGACCCCGAAGGGCTGGCGGGATTCCTCGTCAGGTGGAGGAGTCTTCGCTGCGGAATTCGGAGGACCAGACACAACAAGACATACCTAAGAGGAGCCCGAACGAGGAAGCCGAAGGGGCCCAGGTGGAGCCCCGCAAGTGGCCCCAAGCATTCGGGACAGGCCCCCGGATGCACCGCGAGAGGCCCCCAATGAGGCCGCCAGAAGCCCCCACGATGCCCCGGAAAGGTTTTCTCAGGCTCTCCCAGGCCCAGGCTGCCAGGGACTTCCCAAAAGCGCCGCAACGAATCCGAAGGCACCTCCCGAAGGCCTCCATTTACTTTTCTATTGCGAAGGCCTTACGGCCGATGCCGCCGACCCTGTAGGCAGCGACGACGAAGACAGTGGAGGTAGAGGGGTCCAAGATGCCCTTAGATGGCTCGAAGACGGCGCCAGATGCCTGCAAGGTCGTCCGAAGACAGCTCAAGAGGCCTCTCCCAGGGTTCGGGAATGCCTCCATTCATTTTTCTCTGCCTTTAGCCACCGGCATCCAGGCTTCACGCGCTCGGGGCGCGCACCCCACGAATGAAGTGCAGTGGACCAGTTGGGGGCCCCCACGGGGGAGCGTAGAAGGGGCGCGACGGTATCCGGAGGACCCCCTTCTACGCCCAAAGATGGCCAACGGTCCAGAGAGCGCATAAGAGTCGCCAACAGAGCTGCAAGGTTCCCCGAAGAGTGCCCAAACAGCACCAAGATCTCCAGTGCTGGGGCCCCAGGGTGGCAGACAATCTCCCGAAGAGCGGCTTCTCCCCCTCCTGATCATCCTCTCCCTTCGCCTCTTGTCCTCATCGGTACACGGCCGTCGAAGAATGGCCCACGGGACCCCAGGTGTTTCCGAATGGGCTCGACACTTTTCTGCGATGAGTGAATGCTCTTGCTTTTTGAGTGCAGGCGTGTGCGCCTGCCACCCGAGTGCCAGCAACTATGGAGTGCTGGCGCAATCGCTCTGCGTGGCTTCCCCCTCCCTCCTTCCTCGTCGTGGATGAGGGGGAGGAGGCCGCGCAGAGAAGACGGGGGGGTGTACACCTTCTGATGCGAGAGCTTGGACGGACATGCCCAAGATGGCCGCAGGAGAGCTGAAGGGAGCCTCTGGGCCCAACACGCCCCAAGATTTGTTGTTAACGGCCCAAGACGGTCCAAGGGTGCCCGGCAGCGTTTCAAGAGATTTCCAAGTGTTGCGTGACGACGCGAATCGATGATTTCAGCGTGCGATATTTCACACCCAGCCGTGCGCAAATCTCGCTTCGCAGCCACATAAAACAGGCTGGACCAGAAAGTGTAAGGGTGTGTCCAGCGAGAGATCGTTTTCAAAAAGGGCCGCCCCCCATTCGTGCACTTTCTGCTCAAGTGTGCACACCGTGCCATTCGGGATGAATGCGCGCGGCTCTGAGGCGAGAGCCACGCCATTCCTTCAGCTATTGCAATGTTGTATAATTCAGGATGAAGCCAAGAAAATAAGTGTGACGCGAAACGCCCTGCCGAGTCTACGGGCACGTCGTGCGACAGGGTGGCCTAGGAGGAAAAAAACGACGAGGCGGAGGTCGAGGGGAGGAGACTGCGCGGCTTATGACATCGTCAGCGGCCTGCCCGGCCTCCTGGTTGCGGGTGCTTTCTCGCCATCCGTGCTCGACCTCCGTCTAGTTTGCGGCTCGTTGTCTGGTACGTATGTTTTCAGCAGATCTTTTGACAGGGTAGGGAAGAAAGGGAAGGAGATAGGCATTGTTGGAGGTAACAGAGGCCTACAAGAGGGCCTCTGAATATTTCAGGAGGCCGGCAACGGGCCAAAAACGTTCTCGTCTGTGTCGGCTCGGTCGGTTCTCGGTTGTGCTGTCTGTCGCCGTGAACTCCCGCGTCTTTGTCTTCCTCTTTTCGCAGGAGGCATCTATTCAGCTGCCTACTGGAAGTCCCGCCAACCGTGCCAGTTCAGACTGTCGGGTGGCCATTATTCGATGGGGCACGGGAGGCCGTTACGTGTGACCTTTCGGGCCGCTTGAAGGTTGTGGGGGCCTCTTGAGGAGTTCTTTGGGGCCTCTTGAGGCCTCTTTGCAGCGCGCCTTGGGGGCTCCTCGGGGGCTCCGTCTGACGGCGCTCGGACCGTATGGGTGCTTTCAGAGTCCATCTTGACTGGCTCTCTGGCTCGTCTTGGGGCTCTGGTAGGGACTTTGAGGGCTGTCTGAGCGCCTTCTTGGGCCGACTTGGGGTCCTCTTTGGCCGCTCTTGGACCGTCTTGGCACCCTGTTGGGCCGTCCTGGGGGACCTCTTGGTGCCCTCCTGGGCTGTTTTTCAGGTCACCTTAAAAGCTCCTTGGGCTGTCTTGGGCCGACTGAAGCTCGACACGGCGAGAATGCGAAAACTAATTACGGATGATCAGTGGTTTTTCTTCGTTGGGTTTTTGTTGGAGGCTCTATACGAGCATTCTTGGGCCGTCTTGGAGGCCTTTTGGATCGTATGGAATCCATCTTCAGTCATCTTAGGCCGTCATGGAGGCTCCTTGGACCATCTCGACGGCCTTGGTGGCCTGCCAGGTCCGTGTTGGATGACCTTCCTGGGCCGTCTTGGAACCCTTGGAGAGCCTCAGGCAAGCGCCATGGCCGCCCAGGGACCCTCGGGAGTAGGGATGGTGCAGTCAACGTTGTGTGGGGCGGAGGGCGGGGTCCCTTTAGGAAACCGCAGAACCCCTGCCAAGTAGCACTTGGCAGCCTTCCACGCCTCAACGTGCCAAGGCACGGTGGCGGGTACAGTCGGACCGAGGCATACGATCGAGGTCGGTTCGGGGAGGGAAGCCTAGTAGTGTACCTGGTGTTTGTTGGATGTTCTTGTGCATCCTGGGGAGGGTACCTTTGGATGCTCTGCTTGTTTTGGCCGGCGGAGGGTCTCGTTTTCTTGAAGGACGTTCTTCTGGCCTGGGTCCGACTGTAAGGAAAGGGGGTGGAGCGCTCGCAGAGGCGTCGGCGTGCATCCACAGGTCCTGGCGCGCGCCCCGCGGCAGGAGGCCATGCTCTCCGCGGGCGCTGCGCGCACGGACTCCGCGCTCGGAGAGCTGGAGCGGCTCCGGGCCGCCCTCGCGGAGGTCGCGGGGCTGGGCTACACCGCCGCCAGCAGGGAGAAGGCCCGGCGTGAGGGGGGTCCCAGCGCGGTCCAGCCGCCAGGGGGGTGCTTGCCGCCAAGCGGAAGGGGGCCAGAGGAGAGCACCGGTGAGGAGGAAGGTATCGAATGGCCTTCGGCCCATACCGCCATTGTGCCTGGGTTGTGGGTACGAAGCCTAGAGGATGTTCGTTGGGATTCCGTGGGAGTCTTCCCGGAGCCTCTTGGAGGCAGTCCGGACGCTGCCATAAAGCGGAAGGGGCCAGAGGAGAGTGCGGGTGATGAGGAGCGTATGTTCCGTAGGCGGAGCGATGGACGTGCTTCTTGTGAGAGGGGAGGGAGGATCGGCGTCACCCCGACATATTTATACTACATGTGCGTCGCCCCCCCAGGGGCGACGCGCGCACCGAGAAATCTTATATAGTATTTGCTTCGTGGCGGGCACTTTCTGGCCACACCGCTCGGCTGACACCTTCCTGGCATATGCTACAAGATGGGTGTACTATATGTTCGGGTCGGACGCGCGTCTCCAATGAGGACATAGAGTACTAGTATGTCTTTGTGCCTCCCAGAGGAGGGAGGAGGAAAGAGGGAGGGCAGGATGGGGGATGGGGGAGGGGAGAGGGAGGAGCGATGGTGGGCTGCGGGGGCAGGCGGGGCACGCCGTGTCGCCAGTCCACTCGTCTCGCGGTTCTCGGGGGGGCGGGGGCTCTCCCTCAGGGTCCGACGTTGGCCAGAGGACCGAAGCGGGTGAGTGTGGATGCGGGAGGGAGGAGACGGGGGCGGCGGAGGAGGGGGGGAACGATGACGAGGAGGAGGAGGAGGAGGAGGAGGAGGAGGAGGAGGAGGAGGAGGAGGGGCCCAATAGGGCCACGCAATCCGCAAGTGGGGGGGGGGACCTACGATCAGGCCCCAGGGCCTTTGCCGCTTGCCGTCGCCACCCTCACCGCCACGCGCCTACAGCTCGCTTGTTCCTCTTTCCCTCCTCATGGTCATGATTGATGTCGATGTTGCGATGCCTCTCCTCTTTCTCTCCCCTCCGTCTGTCTGCCTTTATGCCCTCCGATGTTTTATCATACTCCTCCAGGGCTGGCTTTGGGCCAGCGCTGGGGGAAGCGGCAGCGTTCGGAGAACACCAATGCCGTCAGGAAATTAGGACATCAGGCGGATGGGGGGAGGTGGAGGAACGATGCCGAGGAAGAGACATGTATGCTGCTATGTGCGGCCCTTCTAACTCTCCTGTCCGAGTGATGAAGCGTGGGGAAGTATTGTTCCCATTAAGACGAGGCGAGAGTTCGAATGGCGGAAGGTGTTGGCAAATCCGATCTGCAGTCTCACGTGCCGCTGGGAAGGCTCTGCACGCGTTCGACGCCATGCACAAGGCCTTGATGAGACTCTGCACCGAGGCCTCCTGGGCAACTCTTGTCGGTCGGAGGGTCTCGGTGTACACACCATATCGTTTGGTCGGCCGAGGGGCCAACGAGTTCGGCGCAGAAAATCTGAGTTAAGAGTATAGACGCTCCAGCGTCCCACAGGCTGGGACATTGGGGCATCTATACACCGAATTCCTTGGCGGACCAGACGATTTAGTGTATACTTCGAGCCCCTCCCAGTCGGGGATCTCTGGGGTGGACGTGGTCGGACTGTTGGATTGAAGGGGGTCGGCTGCGCGGGCGTTCGTACTTAAGACGTATGCTTCCCGCGTAGGGTCGCGCGGCTAGCGCCCCCTTTTCCGCGTGGCGTTGGGTCACGCTGGCGGCTTGCGCAAGCCAACGAGGCAAGCCGCCGTGTCCCCGTGCATAAGACGGCTTGTTCTCTGCTGCGCACGTGTAAGGGCATAGTGTTGATGGCATGCAGTGCGCAGTCAATGCAGCCAAGACGTTGATATAAAACACACACTTTATTTTGTTCCTTGGATCCTTCCTTCGTTGTTCCTCTATCTCGCATTGTGAACCTAGTCACGAGTGTCGCCCAAGAGGGGCTTCGTTTCATACCTAGCGTTGCTTATGGTAGCACCTTGCATTGCATAGGGATGAACTGCCGCTCACAACTCATGCAGAGCACATCCTTCTAATCGTTCCTTCTCCGCACGTGTGGCGGAGTCTTTGTTTCTCCCGTTTTGGACGATAGGCTCTAGCATTCCTTCGTTTTATTATTCGGTTCGGTCCACCACCACCACCACCACTTGGATTTGCTTGGTGACATGCTTCCCTCTCCCTTTTCCTTGCCACCGCGAGCCCTGTGCTCTCTGTGGTGTGTTGATGGCCCGCGGGGGTAGAACAATGCTCTCATGGTCTGGGACCTGAGGGTGACCCACACGTCGAATGCAGTTGATGCGCAATGCCGCCCTGGATGCCGCACGTTCTCCGATGCCGTGCTTGCATCTCGTACCGCACGCATGCGCCCTGCCCGTCCCGCCTGTTGGACTGCCTGCCCTCCTCTCCGAGTTCGGCCGCACGCGCGAGCGACCCTTCGCCGGAGTGACCTCCGGTGCCGGGCCTTCGGGGAGCGCACGCGGGCCGCCGCTGCCAGACGGCCCGCGGTGATCGGCAACCTGCGCACAGTGAGCTCACCCTTCCCCACAGTCGGGCCGCTGAAGCAGGGAGCCTTCTCGTTGGGGAGGGGCTCGGTGTTCCTCGGTTGATTGACAGTTTGTCGCAGGTGTTCCCCGGACGTTTTGTGGGAAGTCGAAGTTGAACTTGTGGAGAAAGGGGGCCTCGTTGCTTGGCTCGGGTTCCGTATGACAGCGTTTCGACTGCGTCTTCGCTCTTCTCGGCCCCCGGCGTGGGATTCGCCCAACCCCCGATTTTCCGAGAAAAGCGAGGCCGCTCAGGAATAGAAGGAAACCTCGGGATACACCCCAAGGAGGCTATTCGGACGCACCCGTCTCGAGGATGGACGCCCCCCAAAGGTATATCCAAGGGTGGGGCTCTAAATGTTTGGTCCAGTCGAAAACCTCCCAAAGCCTGGCCCAGGGGTCGACAGATCCCCTGCTAGCTTCTGCGCTCTTCGCGGCCGGGCGAGGGATTCGCCCTTCTCCGGGGGGCGCCGCGGGTGCGCGAAGGCACCCGCACAGCGGGAAATTGGGGGAACAAGCAATGACATAAACATAAACATTGGGAGGTCCGCGCAGATTTCTCGGATCGGCGCTGGAGCCCCCTAGCGCGCGGAGCGCGCCAAGGGGGTGCAGCGCAGATCTGACACATCCACTCGGACCTTCGAAACAGTGGAGATGCGGCAAGGTCGAGCCGTGTCTACGCGGCGGCAGCCCCAGCGTGGGCGTTCGAGACTGAACGCCGGTGGTGGCTCGGCATCCAGCGATGGCGAAAACTGTGCGCGGTTGAACGATCCACGCGGGGGCAGAGATCAACGCACAGGCCGGCACGTTTCTGCCGTAGATGACCCAGCCCTGAGGTGCTGGGCGTCGCAGTAGTGAGCAAGCGGCTCTCGTCTGGGGCCGCGGGCCGACGCCCACGTCTCGGGACTCGCGTCACGGGGGTCACCGCTAGCGAGGGTCAGTCAAAATCCTCTGGCTGACCTCAGTTTGGCGCCACGTGGAGTCGGCCCCCCTTCCCGCCTTCCGCTGACCCAGGTTTGGGAGCTTTTTCGTGGCTTTCCCAGGTTTGTGACGGAGCCCTGGCTGACCTGGGTTAGTTCTGACCCGGGCTACCGCGTCGGAGCTTTCTCTTGATCCCCGCCGCCGGTCACATGATTTTGCTGTGTTCCACCCAAGGCTCGGGGCTGATCGGATCGGATGCCTCGCCACCTGGCTTCCCTCGCTCCGTGCTGCCAGCCGAGCGAGGAGCCAAGCTTCCCGTGGCTCGGGGCTCGAATTGAAGGGTGGGAAAGGCGGCGTTACGAACTTTGCTGCACGCAGTGGTCTCGGCTCCACTGGATGGCATTTTCCACGATGCTGCATGGGCGCGGCCTCGAGGTGTTCGGAAAGCCAGCTGCACGCAGCTGCTTCGCTGACCCCTCCTTGATCCCCACCCCCTTTCGTCCCCCCCGATCCCTGCGCGGCAGCCCCCCCGATCCCTTTCCTCAAGGATGGGCTGAAGTTCGACAGTGACTTGGAGAGCATAGAGCCAAAGCGCGACATCCTGGCTTTCCTCGCTGATGTCACTCGGACCTGGGAGGGAGGAGGAGGATGAGGAGGAGGAGAAGGAGGAGGAGGAGGGAGGAGAGGGAGGGTGGGAGAAGAAAAGAGGGAATAAGGAAGAGCCGGAAGAGGAGGATACGGAGCCTGGACGGACGCAAGGGCGGCCCACTGTTCCAGGGGCGGCCCACTGTCCATGCCGTTGTTCCCCGAGCAATGCCTCCATTGAAGGGCTTTTTCGCTTCTCTCCTCAAGTCATGTTGGCTGTGTGTGCCAGGGTTTCGCCTCGTGCCCGGTGTATGGCCGCCAGGGGCTGCCTCGCGTCCTCCTCCTCCTCCTCCTCCTCCTCCTCCTCCTCCTCCTCCTCCTCCTCCTCCTCCTCTCTCTCCTCCTCCTCTCTCCTCCTCCTCCTCCCTCCTCCTCCTCCTCCTCCCCTCCTCCTCCTCGAGCCAGTCCTCCTCGCTTCCCCCCCCCCTTCTGCCTCTTTCCCCTCCCTCCCCCCTTCCCTCCCTCCTGCCCCCCTCCCTCCTCCTTTCCTCTCTCCTCCCTCCTCCCTCCCTCCCTTCTCTCCCTCCTCCCGTCGTCGACGACGACCACAACCACCGCCGCCGCCGACCCGATGCCCGGTTGGTGGCCGCCCATGGCCGCCCCGTGCGCCAGGTGGGCCTGCCTGGGTTTCGCCCGGCGTTCAGCTGTTGGCCGCCGGTGGGCGCCCCCTGGGCGCCCACGGAGCCTGCACCACATTTGCACAAAGTTTACCGCACAGCTCGCTTCACATGGGCTGTATATCACGTTGCTCGCATCATTCAGCTTTCGTCACATAGTTTACACCACACTGCTCGCACAACCTGACTGGTCCACCACGGGGGGGCATCATACCGCATAGACCACCCTTCGGGTGATAAGGAGGCGAGGGGGGGGACCACCGTCGCACTCGATCGATCTCACTATCGATCTCGCTATCGATCTCATTATCGATCTCATTCGATCAATCTCACAATCGATCTGGCTATCGATCTCACACTCGATCTCACTGACGATCTCACTATCGATATCACAATCGATCTCACAATAGATCTCACAATCGATCTGGCTATCGATCTCACGATCGATCTCACATTCGGTCTCACGATCGATCTCACTACCGATATCTTTATCGATCTCTCACAATCGATCTCACAATCGATCTCACAATCGATCTCACATTCGGTCTCACTATCGATCTCACTATCGATATCACAATCGATCTCACATTCGGTCTCACTATCGATCTGACTGTCGATCTCACTATCGAACTCATTATCGAAGTCATGATCGACCTCTCGTTCGATCTCACTATCGATCTCACTATCGGTATCACAATCAATATCACAATCGATCTCACATTCGGTCTCACTATCGATTTCACGATCGAACTCACTATCGATCTCACTATCGATCTCACATTGGGTCTCACTATCGACTTCACTATCGATATCACAATCGATCACTCATTCGGTCTCACATTCGGTCTCACTACCGAACTCACCATCATCACCACCATCATCATCACCATCATCATCATCGTTGTCAACATCATCATCATCATCGTCATCATCATCATCGTCACCGACGGGACACCGACGGGTTACCGGCGGGACACCGCGGGGCCCCGGCCGCCCGGAAGGGAGACATTTGGTCCGGCCGCGCCTCAGCCACACGGGACACCAGCGGGACACCGGCGGTACACCGTGGGGCTCCGGCCGCCCGGACGGGAGACATTTGGTCCGGCCGCGCCTCAGCCATAGGAGACTTTCTTCTCGCCCGCCCACGCAGCTTCGCCTCGCCCGCACGCACGGCACGCACGAACACGAAACCGAAATCGATTTCCCGGTAGGGGGGCTCTCCGTTCCACTTCGATCTCACCCCCTCACCTCCGATTAAGGATGTGCGGCGTCGCTGACATCATCACCTCACCGTCGTTATCGTCATCACCATCTTCATGACCATCATCGCCATCATCGTCATCACCATCATCATCACCATCATCATCGTCATCATCATCCACAGCGGTTTCGGCTCTCGGACGCGAGTAGATCGTTTTTCGCGCTCCCCCCAAACCGCGAGCGTGGTGCCGCTGCCTCTGGCGCGGGTTCAGATGTCTGGAGAGTCTGAATCAGAGGCGGGCCCGGTTGGGCGTGGTCGCAGGCTGCGGCCTGCGGCTGAGCGTTTGTACTGGATCGTGGAGAGCCTGTTCAGGATCCGGCGTCTCCAACGAATCTGGGGACACCTTGGACAGTTCTCGCAGATCGTGGCAGCGACGACTCCACGAGAGCGACTTCGGAAGCTGCTACCCCCTGAGAAGCAGAAGAAGACGAAGAAGAATAATAATACTAACAATAAGAAAAAGTAATGGCGACTCAGCGCGCCGCTTGTGCTGCGAGCGCGGCGAGCTTCGGAAATCCAGGTTGGCGGAAGCGGGCAATGGCTTCCAGCTGCTTCTGGCGCGGGGAACGCTGCCTCTGGCGCGGGCGGGGGGCCGCCGCGACGACGAGGAGACGGCCCCCGAAGAGCCACGCAGCAAGAAGATGAAGAACCGCACTGGGATCGTCGACTGATCCAGGCTGCCTCTGGTGCTGATATCTTTTCACACAGCAATGGCTTGGGGGCTGCCTCCTGGCGCTCCCATCGCTTGCAGGCTGCCTCTGGGTTCTCCAGACTAGGGCTCCGTACCAGGTGCCCTGGACTGCGCCGCTGGTGCGCAGCGTGCAGCGGACAAAAAAACAGGGTCATGCTCTGCCGCTGCTGCCAGCTGCTGGTACTGCTGCTGCTCCGCCTCCTCCAGCTGCTGCTCCTGTTGTTGCTGCTGATCCTCCGCCTGCAAGCCGCTGCCCCTGCTGCCGCTGCGAGCAGCAGGAGAGGCTGGAGGAGCACGGCACTGGGGAAAGCGCGAGGGAAAGCAGGTGCCCATTGGGTTCGCTCAGAGGCCCAACCACGCGAGGTTCTCGCAATACCAATAGCCCGCGACTCCAAGGGTTGCCGAGCCAACCGCGGGCGCATCCGTACGTCGCGACGCCAAGGGTGCGCCGGCGGTTGGCTCGGCAACCCTTGGAGTCGCGGGGCACTGGCAATGCCAGAACCTCGCGTGGTTGAGCCTCTACGCGAACCCAACTGACCAAGAGGCGCCTGCGCTGACTCGCGTGTCCCCCAGTGCCGTACTCTCCCGCTGCTGCTCCTTCTCCTCCGCAGGCTGCCTCTGGCGCTGATATCCGTTTGCGCAGCAATGGCTTGCAGGCTGCTGCTGCCATCTGCTGCCACTGTTGCTGCTCCACCTCCTCCAGCTTTTCCTGCTGCTGCTCCTGTTGTTGGTGCTGCTGCTGCTGGTCTCCTCGTCCTCCACCTGCTCTTCCCGCATGTCCGTGGCGTTTGCCGGCTCCAGCGGGGGCGGCGCGAACGCGGCGCGTTAGCCGCGATGGGTCGCCGCGGCGCGGAGAAGGCTGCCTCTGGCGCGCGTTCTTCTATGGTGGATGACCTCGCCGTGGTGTCGGGAGCCGAGTCCGGGAGGTCCTGGCGAGAAGTACATCCCGTCCGACCTGGTGGCCTCGTCAATTTCCGGATTGGTGGGCGGCCAACCAAAGACGGCCAGAGGTCTTGGCGCGCGTGCACCAATTACTCTAATGGCAAGGTCGTCCAGGAATGGTGGATGACGCCGTTCTTTGTGCCTATTCACGAGGTGACCGCGATGATAGGTAATAACGGTGTCGAGACAACGTTGCAAAAATGTTGCGTCGATGCCTCTGGCGCGGGGCCAGAGACGCACATGCGCCGGGCGGACATCCACAGGATCGCGTCTCTGGCCAGGAGCCACCTCATGGTCTGTCATGTTCAGCGTGGGCCCAACGACGCAGACCAACACCCACAGCAGAAGGACAGATTTGGTCGCGCAGAAAATGGCACCAGTCTTCATTTGATTTGCAACTGTCGGCGGCGCCCCGCGCGGAGATGATCGCCGGGTGCTCTGTCAACGGGGCCGCCAAAATAGTGCGTGATGACCCTGCTGCTCATGGGCTGCTCGGTTTGTGGTGGAAGCCTGCTCGCAAGGCGATGCTCTCGCCGGAGCAAGAGGATGTGGCCTGGGCAGTCTTTTTCGACTTGATGGAAGGCAACCATCGAGTGCCAGAAATATACGCCCACGAGTTTCACGCTCTCCCAAACGTCTCCGCTGCCTCTGGCGCGTCCGCTGCCTCTGCCGCGCCCGCTGGCTCTGGCGCGTTCGCCGCTCCTGCTGCTGCTGCAGCTGCTCCCGTTGCTGCTCCTGCGGCAGCTCCTGCTGCGCCAGCTGCTCCTGCGCCAGCTGCAGCTGCTGCGGGTGTTGCAGCTCCTGCGCCAGCTGCAGCTGCTGCTCCTGCTGCGCCAGCTGCCCCCGCGGCAGCTCCAGCTCAGTTCCCGCCGGGGCTGCCGCAGGCGGCGCCACCGCCTGCCGCGGCGCCGCCGCAGGTGCCGCCGCCTGCGGCGCCTCAGAAGGCCGCGCCGCCGCCTGCCGCGGCGACTTCACAGAATACCAGCACCGCTGCCTCTGGCGCGCGTGTCATGCCACCTCTGCATGTGGCACCGCTGGCATCGATGAGTGCCGCTAGCGCTGCTAGCTCGTCGCCGCCGCCGCGGCCGGCCGCCAGCTCGCCGCCGCCGCCGCCAGGGCAGGCTCCTCACGTTTCCGCGCCTGCTGCTGCTGCCACCGCGCCGCCCCTGCCTGCCTCTGGCGGCTATGCTGCGCCTTCGGCAGCGGCGGCCTCGGGCAGCGCGATCGCGGCGCCTCCGCCTGCAAGCCAGTCGATGGACACGACGCGACGGGGGAGAGACGAGGAGCGGACGGAAGAGCGGCGGACGAGGATGCGCTCCAGAAGCCAGGCAGATCTTTCTGCTGTTTCTTGCGCGTCTACTGCCTCTGGCGCATCAGAATCAGGGGACGAGTCAGAGGTTGGCGCGTCAGACTCAGGGGACGAGTCAGAGGTTGGTGTCTCTGGCGACCTCGACTTTGTTGCTGGTGTTACCGACGACCCCGGTTTAGTGTCACTGACGACTCCTCTGTCTGAGCGGGCCTTGTCGCGATTGCCCGAGGCTCAGGAGGCCGAGCTACGCGCGGTCTACCGATCGGACAGGCCTAAGGAGTACCATTTCGTCGACAACGGGGCGAGTTGGGAAGCGAACGCAAGAGCTCTTGTCCGAAACTGGCAAATGCCGCAGCTCCAGGACGCAAACGGCCATGCGCTTCTGCGCCGGCTCGACCATTTCTGCGAGCTCGCCCCTACGCTGGGGCAGTTTCGCCACGGCATGCCCCGCCGAAGCGACAGCCCAGACAACGCGGGGGGGATGTGGGACGTCGCGCGCGCGCGCTGGCCTCCGAGAAACAACACTGCAAGAAGCGGCTCCAGCAGGCCCTGTGGCCGGACGCTGCCTCCTGCGCGCCTGTCGCTGCCTCTGGCGCGCCCTTTGCCGACGCGTGCCCGAACGCCGTGCTCGGCGACGGGTGGGCGGCGCTCGCGCCAGAGGCCTTAGCAGTCGAAGCGCGTGGCCGGCATTCCCAGCGACGAAAGGTACGTCCACCACATCCTCGAGAAGCACAGCGGCGAGGCGCGGCACTGGGGGGCCCTCGCATGGATCGAGGTGGACTCTGGCCACGTCGAGATGCTCTTCCACGTCAATTTCTGGCATCGCCAGCTGGTCAAGACCGAGCGGGCGCGTGAGTATCTGGTCTGGGCGAATGCGAGAAGGGGGACGGAATTCCTGCCTCTGGAGGACATCAACGCGGTCCTGCACATGGAGGATGGCGAGACCTACGTTCTCAAGCGTGTCACCCGCGACGTCACCTCTACCTCTGGCGAGACGTGGTACAGCAGGGCGGGCAATTACATAACACTTGCGGAGCTGTTCGACTACGGGTGCCTCCTTTGCTCCTGCCACTACCTGTGCACGTGGTACCTCCGACAACCGATGTTCGCGCGCAGGAAAGGGCGCAGCCGGTCGCAGTCGGAGCAGGCTGTTATCAACAGGAATGCCCGGCGCCTCCAGTTTGCGGAGAGAGGGGCCTGGCGCCTGCCCAGGCGTCCAGGGTGAGAGCGTGGCACTGCTGGGTCGCTGCCTCTGGCGCGTCTTTGCGACACTTACTTACTTCTGCCCTAGCTGCCTCTGGCGCTTCCTTACTTCTGCGCGCAGCGCGTCGCTGCTGAGCACGCTCGCCTGCGCACGGGCGAAAGAAAAAAGCCGCCGACGTCGTCGCCGACATCGTCCTCGTCGTCGTCATCGCCACTCGCATCATTGTGCTCTCTGTGTATTGTGCTCTCTGTGAACTTTTCGTTTTCCTGTTTACTGTTCTCTTCGTGTTCTTTGATTTCACTCGTGGTGTTTAGCTTACTTCTTACTATGGTCGCGTTCAGTTTCCCCCTGGTCGCGTTTAGTGTTTTCTTGGTCGTGCTTAGTTTTCGCTTTGTCGTGTTTGGCTTTCCTATGGTAGTATTTGGTTTTCTTTTGGGTCCTGCCTAGTTTTCTCCTGGTCGTGTTTAGTAGTTATGTCCTATAGTCGCGTTTAGTTTTGTTCTGGTTGTGTTTAGTTTTACCGTGGTCGTGTTTCGTTTTCTCATGGTCGAGTTGGGTTTTTTCTTGGGTCGCGCTTAGTTTCCTCGTGTTCGTGTAGTGTTCCTGACAGACAATCCATGCCCAGCTCGACGTCGCCTTTTGGGATCAAGTCACGCAAGCGCGCTGACCTTGACATCGCTTACCGTTGGCCTCTCGCGGCTCTTCTTCTGCTCCAGCTTCCCCACCTCGCGCAGGCGTCCGCGCCGCGGGGCGCGCGCGAACGTCTGCTGGCGGCTGCGGCTCCGCCGCCGCAGAGCACGACGCGCGCGTCCAGGAGAATCAGCACATGGCTTTGGCGCTCGCAGAGAAGGAGCTGGAGATCCGCAAGCTCGAGGAGGAGAAGTCGGAGTACAAACGCAAGTGCGAAGATTTGACTTCGACTCTGAAGGCGCTCGCGGACGGCGTCGGGAACGCGGCGCTCTCTGCCGAGGCTGCCGCCGCTGCCTCTGGCGCGCGTGCGCAGGACAAGAACGACAAGAAGGATGTTTTCCAGGACAAGACCTTCCCGCTGAAGGCCCACCGCCAGTCGGAGCCAGTGGTCGCGGACAGCTCCGGGAAGATCCACGAAAAGGTCGAGGGCCCTTACGCCAGGAGCCTACGCATGAAACGCGAATTGTACTATCGCAACAGGGCAAAAAGAGCGGCTCTCAGTGGACCAGGATCAGGACTTGTTCCAGCCATCGGAGACGCTGCCTCTGGCGCGCGCCGCGCTGACGACAGCTCCGGCGCAAGTTCTGCGAGGGCACAGGGCAGCGCGGGTGGGGAATCCTCAAGTGCAACCGGCGGTGCAGCGGCAGCGGCTGCGGAGGAGGAGGACCGCCGCGACGACGAGGAGACGGCCCCCGTAGAGCCACGCAGCAAGAAGATGAATCAGCGCACTGGGATCGTCAACTGATCCAGGCCGCCTTTGGCGCTGATCTTTTTTCACGCAGAAATGGCTTGCAGGCTGCCTCTGGCGCTTCCCTCGTTTGGCGCAGGGTTCTCCAGACTCGGGGCTCCGTGTCAGCTAGGTGCTCTCTGCGCCGCTCCGGGGGGGGGAAAGGAACGCTCGTGCTCTGGAGCTGCTGCCGGCTGCTGGTACTGCTGCTGCTCCGCCTCCTCGAGCTTTTCCAGCTGCTGCTCTTGCGACACGCTGCCTCTGGCGAGGATGACGAAGAGTAGGCGACGCACTGCCTCTGGCGTGCCACAACGCTGCCTCTGGCGCGCCCCTTGCCACGCGAGCGGTCCCTCGAGCACTCGCTTCCGAGAGGGGCCTGGTGGCGTCGGCTCTGAGGGGGGAATTCTCGCGTGATGGTCGTTGCGAAGGAGGGCGTTTGCACCGCCCTTGCGTTGGCAGCGCGGGGCGTCTCATTCTCACGCGCGCGTCGTGCTGACGGTTGCTGCCTCTGGCGCAATTGTGTGGCTGCCTCTGGCGCCCTGTGGTCCTTGCGTAGATGGCAAGAGTGACTCTTCTCCTGCGCCATCTCATGAAAAAGAAGCCACTGTTCCTCTCAACCATCGTGCGAGCTACCATTTGATGCTGACGCTGCTTCCGACCTCGCCCCCACTCTCTGCAATCCAACCGACTCCTTACCCTTGCCCGAGGATATTTCGCCCTCAGGTTCGCTTTCGCCCTCATCTTCCTCGCCGTCGCCCTCTGCTCCGAGGTCATCTTCGTGCTCAGCTTCACCCCCGCCTCACGCTACCCCTGCCTTCACCTCTTAGACTTCTCCGTGCTCGCCCACAGCCTCACCCTCAGCTTCGCAGCCGCCATCGTGGTCGTCAATCGCAGCCTTTTCGGCTCAACAGCGCCTCTGGCGTTGGCGCCCGAGGCGCCACGCGCGGGGCAGCATGGGGGAGCGCGCCCGGGACTCGCACGCGGCCGCCTTTGGCGCCGAGGGTCCTGGCATCGAATTTGAGGAGGCGGACAAGATTACAAACCGCGTGCTGCAGTGGCAAAAGCAGCACCCGTGCAGAAATTATGTCGACCTCCAGATTCTGGCTCCATCGGGGGGCCTTTGTAAAGTCGAAAATCAGGTTGCAGGAGGAGTGTGCACGCACATCGTCGGCAACCAGTGCATTCGCGAAGATGTCCTGATCCCTCTCTCCCACGAAATTCGCCCAGGAAAGGGCGTGCCCCCAGTGGGGGGCGCGAGTGATGACTTGACGGTGTACACAGGCGCTGCCGCTGGCGCGACGATGCAGCACGCGACAAATGCGCGTCGCATGGCCGAGTTGGCTTCCTCGCATCCTCCCGCGTCCACAGTGGACATTCACCCTTGCGAGGACTGGATTGAGAGCCCAGGGGACACGCGAGGCCGAGCGACAAAGGGCAACCCGAGCCAGTTCTTCCTAACAATCAGCCTCGCTTGTGCTGGGACGGTCTTCAAGGTGGGCCTCTCCACGAGAAAGACTCACAATGATATGTTGCGTATCTGGTGGGCCCCAAGCAAGGCGTGACCGGCTGCAGGGGCAGCAAGCTACATCAGGGCTGCGCGGCAGGTGTTTTTCGACATCATTGAGCTGGATGTGGAAAGTGTCTTTCCCTGCCGCGAGGATGGGGCGTGGGTCAGCGAAGACGACGCTGCCTCTGGCGCGCCCGCTGCCTCTGCAGCGCTCGCGGCGCCACCCGACGAGGAAGCGAAGCGGGGGATTCAGTTTCTGCCTCCGCGCGCGGGCGACGCGAAGGACACGGGGCGCTTAGTGTCACTGTCCGACGAGGACGACAGCAGTGACGGCGACGCGAAGGACACGGAGCGCTTAGTGTCACTGTCCGACGAGGACGACAGCAGTGACGACGACTTCGACAGTTCCGAATCGGATGACGTTGCCTCGGCCGCGGAGCCCAGTGCTGCCTCTGGTGCAGTGCGTGGTGGTGCCTGGCGCAGTGCGTGGTGGTGGTGCGTGGTGTTTCATTCCAATGCTTATTCGGGCTGGCCGCGGGAGGCAATAATGCGGCTGTGCGAGCCAGGCCTGGTGAAGGAGCGGCGGCGACGCATTTCCCGACTCATCAAGGAAATGACGTCGGCGTGCGAGCACATTCCTCACCCTGATGATGTGATGGAAGGCATCCACCACTGGAACGACACACCCGAGTACTGGAACCAAAGGTGGGACATTGCGCGCGCCTGGGCGTCGCATCAGATGCACTACCTCCGCGAGCTGACCGACGCCTGGGAAGGCATTTCTTTGGGTGAGGGGAAGTATTGGCTTTGCAACGCCTGGCCCAACTTGATTCGCGCTGCCTCTGGCGCGCCACGTGTGGAGTGCCTGCCGCGGGGTCATCCCGGGTGGGGCCACCTGCGCGAGGTGTTCGGAATCAGCAGCATCCCCGAATTCTTGAAGCACTTGTTCATCAAGCACGACGTGGAGGTCAGAGTTGTTCGGTACTCTGGCTGGACGCGTGTGCGGCAGAATTGCGTGACTCATCCTCGATTGTGGCATTCCCAGTTCGCCAGGACCGAGAGTTCGCTGAGTTTTGTGTACTGGAGAGACAACAGCAAATGGCTCGAGTGGCGCGGCGTTGAGTGGATTCTCAACGAGCAGCCTGACGGCCAGACGACGCTGCTCCGTCGTGCTCCCGCTGCCTCTGGCGCGGCTAGTGGGATGTTCGAGGTGGGCATGCGACAAGGACAAGTCGTGGCGCTCGCACAGATGTTCGCCCTGGGCGCAAAGTACTGCACTGCCTACGACATGCACAAGCTGTGCATGGATCTGCCCATCCTCGCCCACAAGCACAAGAGGGATAATAAAAGGGCCAGGACGAAGTGAGCGCGAGTGCAATGACTTCCAGCTGCCTCTGGCGCTCTTTTCCTTTCAGAATGCACTGCCTTCCGGCTGCCTCTGGCGCTTCTTTTCCTCGGCGGCGGCGCCCTGGACTGCTTCGCGGTTTCTCTTCCGCGCGCGCGCGAGAAAAGTCTTGTTCATGCCATGCTGCTGTTGCTTCTGCTGCTGCTGCTCCTCGATGCTGTTGCAGGCTGCTCCTCGCTGATGCTGCTGCTGCTGCTGCTTCCTCCTCCATGCTGCTGCTGCTGCTCCTCAATGCTGCTGAGCTGCTGCTGCTGCTGCTCCTCCTTATCTCCTGCTCCTCCCGCTCTTCGCCTCCTCGCTCACTCTCCTGTTGCAGGCCTCTCCTGTCCTTCCGCCGCCCTCGCTCCGTTGGTCGCAGCGCTTGTGGGCTCGAGCCGCTCGACCGTGCAGCTGCGGCCGTGCCTGGCCCCTGGCTGCCGCCCTCGCGCGCGTCGCCCGTGTCGTCGTGGGGGAGCGTGGCCAGAGGTCGGCTGCCTCTAGCGCCGGGGACTGTGACTTGGCCGCCTCTGGCGCCGAGGACGACGACCTGACCAGCCGTGTGCTTCGGTGGAAGAGGGAACACCCAGCAAGAGATTACGTTGGGCAGCCGCTCCAGCATGTCCAACCGTCGGACGGACTCGGTGCCGGCACCCTCGTGCACTCCGTGCGATGCGGGGTTTACTCGCGGACGAGGTTCGGGAAGTTTGCTGGCGTCTTAGTTTTGATTCCCATATCTCGGAGAGCTCCTCCGCACGTCCAGCCAGTGCTCGAAGAGTCCGCGTTGCTTGTGCATGATGCGACCCTGCCAAAACTAAGCGTGACCGTAGGAAAATTAAACAGGACCCTACCACAATTATACGAGATCCTCGGAAAACGAAACAAGGCCCTACCAAAACTAAACGAGAACTTCGGACAAATAAACAAGACCCTAGCAATTTAAACGAGACCCACGGACAATTAAGCAGGACCCTGCCAACAACTAATCCAGACCCTCGGACAACTAAACAGGACCCCAGCAAAACTAAACGAGAGCTTAGGACAACTAAACATGACCCTGGCCAAACTCAACGAGACCCTAGGACAATTTTAAAAGACCCTACCAAAACTAAATTAGATTTTAGGAAAACTAAACAGGACAATGCCAAAACTAAACGAGCCCTTAGGACAACTAAACAGGACCCTACCAAAACTAAACGAGACCATAGGACAACTAAACAGGACCCTACCAAAATTAAACGAGACCTTCGGAACATTAAACCGGACCCTAGCAAAACTAAACGAGACCCTAGAAACAATTAAACAGGATCCTGGCAAAACTAAACGAGACCCTGCGAAAACTGAACAGGACCCTGCCAAAACTAAACGAGACCTTCGGACAAATAAACAAGACCCAAGCAAAACTAAACGCGACCCTAGGACAACTAAGCAGGACCCTACCACAACTAAACGATACCCTAGGACAACTAGGCAGGACCCTACCAAAACTAAACGAGACCCTCGAAACAACTGAACAGGACCCAAGCAACACTAGTCGAGGCTTCAGGAACAACTAACAGGACCCTACCAAAACTAAACGAGACCCTGGGAGAACCAAGCAGGACCCTACCACAGCTAAACGAGACCCTAGGAAAACTAAGCAGGACCTTAGCAAAAGTAAGCGAGACCCTCGGACAACTAAACAGGACCCTCGCACAACTAAGCGAGACCCTCGGACAACTAAAGAGGACCCTAGCACAACTAAGCGAGACATTAGGACAATTAAACAGGACCCTGGCAAAACTAAACGAGACCTTAGGACAAGTAAGAGGACCCTGCCAAATATTACGAGACCTTAGGACAATTAAACAGGACCTGGCAAAACTAAACGAGACCCTAGGAGACGAAACAAGACCCTGGCAAACCTAAGCGAGACCGTCGGACAACTAAACAGGACCCCAGCAACACTAAATTAGACCTTAGGAAAGCTAAAGAGGACCTTAGCAAAACTCAACGAGACTCTAGGAACACTAAACAGGACCTTACCAAAACTAAACGAGACCCACGGAAAACTAGACAAGACCTTAGGAAGAGTAAACCATATCTTAGGACAACTAAACAGGACCCTACCATACCTAAACGAGACCCGAGGACAAATAAACAGGACCCCACCAAAAGTAAACGAGACCCTAAGCACACTATACAGGACCCTCGCAACATTAAGCGACCCTAGGGAAAAACTAAGCAAGACCGTGCCACAACTGAACGAACCCTCGGGCAACTAAACAGAACCCCACCGAAACTAAAAGAGACAAGAGGAAAACTAAACAGGCCCCTAGCTCAACTACACGAGCCCTAGGAAAACCAAACAAGACCATAGGAAAACTAAATTAAACAGGACCAAACCAAACCAAACCTAACCATAGCAAAACTAAACAGGACCCTAGCACAACTAAGCGAGACCCTAGGACAACTATACATGACCCTACCAGAACTAAACGAGACCCTAGGAAAACGAAGCAGCACCCTGACAAAACCTAAACCAGACCCTAGGACATATAACCAGGAACCTGCCAAAACTAAACGAGACCCTAGGACAACTAAACCAGGGCCTTACCAAACATAAACGAGGCCCGACCACAACTAAACAGGACCCCAGTCAACTAAACGAGAGCTTAGGACAACTAAACATGACCCTGGCAAAACTAAACGAGACCCTAGGACAATTAAAGATGACCCTACCAAAACTAAATTTGACTTTAGGAACACTAAACAGGACAATGCCACAAACTAAACGAGACCTTAGGACAACTAAACAGGACCCTACCAAAACTAAACGAGACCCTGGGACATTTAAACAGGACCCTAGCAAAACTAAACGAGACCCTAGGGACATTAAACAGGACCCTAGCCACACTAAACGAGACCCAATTAAAATATACAAGACCCTGGTAACACTAAACGAGACCCTAGGACAACTAAACAGGACCCTCGCAAAGCTAGACGAGACCCTAGGCAAAGTATACAGGACCCTGCCAAAACTAAGCGAGACCATAGGGCAATTAAGCAGGACCCTACCAAAACGAAACGAGACCCTGGGACATTTAAACAGGGCCCGACCAAAACTAAACGAGACCCTAGGACAACTAAACAGGACCCTGCCAAAACTAAACGAGACCTCAAGAAAATTAAACATGACCCTGCCAAAACTGAACGAGACCCTAGGACAACTAAACAGGACCCTACCAAAAACTAAACGAGATCCTCGGAAGACTAAACAGGGCCCTAGCACAACTAAGCGAGACCCTAGGACAACTAAAGAGGACCCTAGCAAACCTAAACTAGACCATAGGACACTAAACAGGACCCTACCAAACCTAAACGAGACCCTAGGAAACAAAACGGGACCATAGGACAATTAAAGGAGACCCTCGGAAAACTATACGAGACCCCAGCAAAACTAAACGAGACCCTAGGAACACTAAACAGGACCTCGCCAGAACTAAACGAGACCCACGGACGTGTAAACAGGACCCTACCCGAAACTAAACGAGGCCCTAGGAAAAAAAAACCATAGGAAACTTAAACAGGACCCTGCCAGAACTAGACGAGACCCTCGGAAAACTAAACAAGGCCTTAGCAACATTAAACGCGGCGCTAGGAAAAACCGAACAGGACCTTGCCAACACTAAACGAGACCCTAGGAAAACGAAGCAGGCCCCTAGCAAAACTAAACGAGACCCTAGGAAAACGACACAGGACCCTAGCACATATAAACGAGACCATAGGAAAACTAAACAGGGCCCTCGCAAATTTAAACGAGACCCTAGGACAATTCAACAGGACCCTGCCACAATTGAACGAGGCCCTAGGACAACTAAGCAGGACACTAGGAAAACTCAACGAGACCCAAAAAAAAAAAAAAAAAAAAAAAAAAAAAAACTTAAACAGGACCCTAGCACAACTAAACGAGACCCTAGGAACACTAAACAAGACCCTAGCAAAACTAGACGAGACCCACGGACAATTAAACATGACCCGGCCAAAAACTAAATGAGCCTTTAGGACAACTAAACAGGACCCTAGCAAAATTAAACGAGACCTTAGGACAACTAATCAGGACCCTAGCAAAACTCAACGAGACCCTAGGACAAACAAATAAGACCCTACCACAATGAAATTAGACCTGGGCAATACCTACCTACCTACTAAAAGGGCCCTAGGAAAACTAAACAGGACAATGCCACGACTAATCGAGCCCTTAGGACAACTAAACAAGACCCCACCAAAACTAAACGAGACCATAGGACAACCAAACAGTACCCTACCAACACTAAACGAGACCTTCGGACAATTAAACCGGACCCTACCAAAACTAAACGAGACCATAGGACAGTTAAACAGGACGCTAGCAAAACTAAACGAGACCCAGCGAAAACTAAACAGGGCCCTGGCAACACTAAACGAGACCCTAGGACAACTAAACAGGACCTTAGCAAAACTGAACGAGACCCTATGAAAATTAAACAGGACCCTACCAAAAATTAAACCAGACCCTAGGGCAACTAAACAGGATCCTACCAAAACTAAACGAGACCATAGGAAAACTGAACAGGACCCAACCAAAACTAAACGAGACCCTAGGAAAACGAGACAGAACCTTGCCAACACTAAACGAGACTCTAGGAACACTAAACAGGACCATGCCACAACCAAAAGAGGCCCTCGGACAACTAAACAAGACCCTAGCAAAACTAAACGAGACCCCAGGACAACTAAACAGGGCCCTACCAAAAAACAAAACGAGACCGTAGGACAACTAAACAGGACCCTGCCAAAACTAAACGAGACCATAGGACAATTAAACAGGACCCTGCCACAACTAAACGAGACCCTCGGAAAAACTCAAGAGGACCCTACCAAACCTAAACGAGACCCTCGGACAACTACACTGGACCCTAGCCAAACCAGACGAGACCCTAGGACAACTTGGCAATACCCTAGCAACACTAAAAGAGACCCTCGGAAAACTAAACAGGGCCCGAGCAAAAACTAAACGAGACCATAGGACAACTAAACAGGACCCTCGCAGAACTGCGCGAGACCCTAGGACAACTCAGCAGGACCCTACCAAAAAACTAAACGAGACCCTAAGACAACTAAACAGGACCCTAGCAAAACTCAACGAAACCCTAGGGAAACTAAGCAGGACCCTACCAAAGCTAAACGAGACCTTGGGATAACTAAGCAGGACCATACCGAAACTAAGAACGAGGCCCTCGGGCAACTAAACAGGACCCTGGCAAAACTAAACGAGACCCCAGCAAAACTAAACATGACCCTACCACAACTACACGAGACCCTCGGACAAATAACCAGGACCCTACCAAAAGTAAACGAGACCCTAGGAAAAGTATACCAAAACTAGCGAGACCCTATGAAAAGTAAACATGACCCTACCAGATATTTCGAGGCCATAGGACAATTAAACATGACCCTCGCAAAACTAAACGAGACCCTCGGAAAAGTAAACAGGACCTTAGCACAACTAAACGAGACCCTAGGAACACTAAACATGACCCTAGCAAACCTAAACGAGACCCTAGGACACTTAAACAGGACCCTACCAGGAGTAAACGAGACCCTAGGGACATTAAACATGACCTTAGCAACACTAAACGAGACCCAACGGAAACTAAAGAAGACCCTGGCAACACTAAACGAGACCCTAGGACATTTAAGCAGGACCTTGCCAACACTAAACGAGACCCTAGGAACAGTAAACAGGACCCTACCAAAGCTAAACGAGACCCTAGGACAACGAAGCAGGACCCTAGCAACACTAAACGATACCCGATGACAACTAATCAGGACCCTAGCAGAACTAACCGAGACCCTAGGACAAGTAAACAAGACCCTACCGAAACTAGGAACGAGACCCGAGGGGTGAAACCAATTAAACAGGAGCCCAGCGCAACTAAACGAGACCATGGGACAACCAAACAGGACCCTAGCATAACTAAACGAGACCCTAGGACAACTAACCAGGACCCTGGCAAAAGTAAGCGATGCCCTAAGACAACTAAACAGTACTCTAGCAAAACTAAGCGACACCTTCGGAAAACTAAACAGGACCCTAGCAAAACTAAGCGAGACCGTCGGACAAGTATACAGGACCCCAGCAGAACTAAACGAGACCTTCGGAACACTAAATAGGACCCTGCCAGAATTTACGAGACTTTAGGACAATTACACAGGGCCCTACCAAAACTAAACGAGACCCTAGGAGACTAAACAAGACCTTCGCAAACCTGAACGAGACCGTAGGCAAACTAAACAGGGCCCTACCAAAACTAAACGATACCCTGGGAAAAGCTAGAGAGGACCTTAGCAAAACTAAACGAGACCCTAGGAGCACGAAACATGACCTCGCCAGAACTAAACGAGACCCACGGACATGCAAACAGGACCCTACCCGAAACTAAACGAGGCCCTAGGAAAATTGGACTGGACCCTAGCAAAGCTAAACGAGACCATAGGACAACTAAACAGGGCCCTACCAAAACCAAACGAGACCCTAGGACGACTAAACAGGACCCTGTCAAAACTATAAACGAGACCATCGGACAATTCAGCAGGACCTACCAAAACTAAACGAGACCCTAAGAAAACTAAACATGACCCAAGAAAAACTAAACGAGACTCTAGGACAACTAAACAGGACCCTACCAAAACTAAACGCGACCCCCGGAAAACTAAACAGGACCCTGCCAACACTAAACGAGACCCCAGGACAAGTAAACAGGACCCTACCAAAACTAAACGAGACCCTAGGACAACGAAACAGGACCCTAGCAACACTAAATGAGGCCCTAGGAAAGCTGAACAGGACCCTGCCGCAACTGAACGAGGCCCTAGCACAACCCAACAGGACCCTACCAAAACGAACAAGACCATAGGAACAGTAGACATGACCATACCAAAACTAAACGAGACCCTAGGACAACGAAACATGACCCTAGCAACGCTAGGCGAGTCCCTAGGACATTTGAACAGGACCCTAGCAAAACTAAACGAGGCCCCAGGAAAACTAAACAGGACCCTACCAAAACTAAACGAGGCCCTCGGACAAATAGACAGGACCCTAGCAAAACTAAACGAGACCATAGGAAAACTTAACAGGACCCTACCAAAACTAAACGAGACCCTCGGACAACTAAGCAGGACCCTACCAAAACTAAACGAGGCCCTCGGAGACTAAACAGGAGCCAACCAAAACTAAACGAGACCTTCGGACAACTAAACGTGACCATACCAAAACTAAAGGAGACCTTAGGAAAACTAAACAGGACCCTAGCAAAACTAAACGAGACCCTAGGACAACTAAACAGGACCCTAGCAAAACTAAGCGAGACCCTAGGAAAACTAAACAGGACCCTGCCAAAACTAAACGAGACCCTCGGAAGAAGGAAAATTTCCCTGGCGACGTACCCAACCGCTGTGCAAAAGCGGGGCGCACATAGTTTACGATACTTTATAGGGGGGCGATGACGGAGCGAGGGTTGCATATGTCTGCAGACGGAATTCGGGAGACTCGCAGGGCGCGGGTTACAGGAAAAGGGCTTGATAAAGCTGATGAGTTGCAATTCCTGAGCACTCCCAGCCACTTCGAGAGAGGGGATCACAGCAGGCCTCGCGAGTGGCGACAGCCTCGCAGATCGCAGCCCCGCAGGGATGGCGAGGTCTACTTTGGGTCCGCGCGTGGCGCCGCTATGCCGGGCCCCCCAGCAGGCCTCGAAAGTGGCGACAGTTTCACAGGTCGCAGCCTCCAGGGGATGGCGAGGTCTGGTCTCATTTGAATCTGCCCGTGGCGCCACTGCGCTGGGCCCCCCAGCAGGCCTCGAAAGTGGCGGCAGTTTCGCAGATCGCAGCCCCCAATGGATGGCGAGGTCTCGTTTGAATCTGCCCGTGGCGCAACTATGCAGGGCCCCCCCAGCAGGCCTCGAAAGTGGCGACAGTTTCACAGATCGCAGCCCCCCCAGAAATGGCGAGGTTTAATTTGAATCCGCGCGTGGCCCTCACTGTGCCGGGCCCCCCGGCAGGCCTCGAAAATGGCGACAGTTTCGCAGATCGCAGCCCCCAAGGGATGGCGAGGTCTCGTTTGAATCTGCCCGTGGCGTAACTGTGCAGGGCCCCCCAGCAGGCCTCGAAAGTGGCGACAGCTTCACAGATCGCACCCCCCCCCCCCAGGGATGGCGAGGTTTAATTTGAATCTGCGCGTGGCCCCCACTGCGCAGGGCCCCCCAGCAGGCTTCGAAAATGGCGACAGTTTCACAGATCGCAACCCCCCAGGGATGGCGAGGTCTTATTTGAATTTGCCCGTGGCGCCACTGTGCTGGGCCCCACAGCAGGCTTTGAAAAAGGCGACAGTTTCACATATCGCAGCCTCCAGGGCATGGCGAGGTCTCATTTGAATCTGCCCGTGGCCCTCACTGTGCTGGGCCCCCCGGCATGCTTCGAACATGGCGGCAGTTTCACAGATCGCAGCCCCCCGGGGATGGCGAGGTTCAATGTCAATCTGCCCGTGGCCCTCACTGTGCAGGGCCCCCCAGCAGGCCTCGAAAGTGGCGACAGTTTCACAGATCGCACCCCCCCAGGGATGGCGAGGTTTAGTTTGAATCTGCGCGTGGCCCTCACTGTGCTGGGCCCCCCAGCAGGACCCGAAAATGGCGACAGTCTCACAGATCGCACCCCCCCAGAGATGGCGAGGTTTAATTTGAATCTGCCCGTGGCGTCACTGTGCTGGGCCCCCCGGCAGGCCTCGAAAATGGCGACAGTTTCACAGATCGCAGCCCCCCAGGGACGGCGAGGTTTAATTTGAATCTGCGCGTGGCCTTCATTGTGCTGGGCCCCCCAGCAGGCCTCGAACATGGCGACAGTATCACAGACCGCAGCCCCCCAGGGATGGCGAGGTCTAATTTGAATATGCGCGTGGCCTTCACTGTGCAGGGCCCCCCAGCAGGCTTCGAAAATGGCGGCGGTTTCACAGATCGCAGCCCCCCAGGGATGGCGAGGTCGAATTTGAATCCGCGCGTGGCCCTCGCTGTGCTGGGCCCCACAGCAGGCCTCGAAAATGGCGACAGTTTCACAGATCGCAGCCCCCCGCAGGCAAGACAGGAAGAGGCAGGGAGGGAAGGGGGGAGGAAGGAGTGGAGACCGCACTGCTCTATTCAAAACGAATGCCCAACCGAGGAGGGTGGGGAAAAAAACAACTAAACATGACCCTACCAAAACTAAACGAGACCCTTGGAAAACTAAACAGGACCCTAGCAAAATCAAAGGAGACCCTGCGTCGCATTTCGGCTCGAACCCGCTGGTGCTCAGCGTTCCTCGCCCCGCCACTAGCGCACTGGCTGCGCCTTATTCCGCCGCGCGCGAAGCCGCGGCCTCTGGCGCGTTGCGCGCCGCGCGGTCTCCATGGCGGCGCCATGGCCGAACTTCGAGGCCGCGCGCGTCGAGGCGGTCGAAGCGTACCTGCTGGAGCAGCGCGCCAGCGACAAGAAGATCAGCTGGCGCACCGCGCTGAATAACCATGCCTCGACGCGCCCTAAAGAGCACGGAGGCGCTTTGGTCCGAGCCGTCACCAATTGCAAGGAATTCGCTGCCTCTGGTGCGGGCTGGCGGTGCACCCTGACTTTGCCGAACAGCTTTGCGCCGGGAGATGGCCGTCGGCTCGTTGCGATCGGGGAGAGCGAGACGAAAAACGAAGCGTCGGAATTCGCTTGCCTCCGAGCCGTCGGTTCGCTCGTCATCGACAACCCAGGCCAGGTTGTGCTCCGACCGGTGCACTGGAAGGTAACGCCCGACGTGCTCGTGGCCAATCTCCCCGGCGTCGCCGCCAACCCTGCCTCTGGCGGGCGCGCGCTGCCAGTGCGCACCCCTGCGCGGCTCCAGGGCGCGGGCTCGGAGGCTGACGCGCATGACGCTGACGCGCGCTTGGTTGAACTCGTCGAAGACATCCTCAAAACGCACGGCGGCGAGTTCGATCCGCCGCGGATTTCCCAGAAGAAGGCGCGCTGGCGCGACGAGCGCCCGTGGGGCACGTTCAATAAGCTTTTAATGCCTGGGGGGCTGAAGGGCTTCCTCGACAAACGCTCCGATAATTTCGCTCGGCGCGCGCACGCAGGCAACAAAGGCATGCTCATCACATGGGCGAACTGGGTGACGCAGGAGGGGCGCGCCCCGCCACCACGGGAGCGCCCCGCCGCGGGCGAAGTCGCACTGCCTCTGATGTGCCCCGCAATAGCGACAGCGCCCCAACAGGGAGTGGCCTCAGGAAGCGGCCTGAAGCGGCCTGAGGGCGCCCCGCCAACTCACCGCCCTCAGGAAGCGGCCTCAGGAAGCGGCCAGAATGCACTGCCTCGGGCGTCGCCCGACAATTCACCGCCCTCAGGAAGCGGCCAGGATCAGGGCAACCCTTGGGAACACCTTGCCTAGGCTTCTGGCGTGGCCGAGTCACTGCCTCTGGCGTGCCGCTGCCTCTGGCGCGTCTTCTGAGGCCAACGCGGCGTCGCGGCAGCTGTTGCCTTGCCTAGGCCTCTGGCGTGGCCGAGTCACTGCCTCTGGCGCGCCGCTGCCTCTTGCGCGTCTTGTGAGGCCAGCGATGCGTCGCGGCTGCTGTTGCGAGCGGAAAAACTCGTCGTCGTCAGCACCACCATCGCAGTCGCCATCAGGACCACCGACATCATCAGCAAAATCAGCGACGTCATGACCGCCGACATCATGACCATCGTCATATATGATGTTCGGCCCCTTGGTGGACCAGTCAGCAACAGAAATGCACGTATCGAAGACGCCCACGGCGAATCACCGCCGCCCCCTGCCTTTCTGGAAGCACCTGCAAGGCCGACAGCTGGCTGTGAGCTTGGCCGAGCTGTCGGGCCACGCGTTCCCCGAGTGGGTTTCGAAAGCGTTCGGGGAACACCGAGTCGGGCGAGCTAGCGGACCAGGTGGTTTCCGAGTTTTCGGGCCTCCTTGAAGACGTCTTGGAGGGGTCTTGGGCCGTCTTGGATGACTCTGGCGGGCCTTTTGGGCAGTCGAAGGCCATCTTGGGGCCATCTACGTTGTCTTGGAGGCCATTTTGGCCGTTCTGGCTCTTGAGCGCTGTTGGGGCTGTCTGGGTGGACTCTTGGGCCCCTCTTCGGACTGTCTTGGGTCATATTTGGGCTATATTGGGTCTCCAAACGCATCGGTAGCGGGACGGCGAGAAGTAAAACCGACTTGGTTTTTGATAGGTGTTTGAAGCAGTTTGGCCTTATCTGGGGGTGGTCCTGAGGGGGCCCCGCGAGCCTTCCCTGAAGGGAAGAGGGTCTTGAAAGGAACAGGTAATTCGTTAGACCACCTTACAGCCCAAAGGGTTTGCGGGATTTTCAAAAACAGTGTTTGCACACTACGGGGTTTTTGCTTGCGTGCTAAGATAACTGGGCCGCTGTGTTGCTCCGGCCAGCTCGTCGTCGCCCATCGCCGCCCATCGCCGCTCGGCCCCAGTGATTGTCAGGTTGGCTCGTCGCCGCCCGTCGCCGCGTTTGTTAACATTGCTTGGCCTTGCTTTGCAAGGCGTTGCTCTGCATCAGCCTGCTTAGCGTTTTTGTCCGTTGCATGGTTTTGCTTCGCATTGTTTTGCTTTGGGTTGCGTTGCACTGTTTTGCGCAGTTTTGATTGTTTCTCATTGCTTTCCACTGCTTTGCATTTCCTTGCTGCGCCTGGTTTTGCGTTGCTTTGGTTTGATTTGCAGCGGTTTGTATTGCTGTGCATTTCGGTGCTGTCATTTGCATCGCTCTTCTTTGCATTGCTGTGCATTGTTTGCCTTGCTTTACATTGGTTTGCATTGCTTTGCCTTGTGCTCCTTTACATTGCTTTGCCTTGCTTTGCTTTGCAACGTCTTGCTGTGCATTGCATTGCGTCGCATTGCTCTGCATGACTTTGTATGGTTTTGATTTGCATTGTTTTTCAGTGTTTTGCATTGCTTCGCTGCGTTTCGTATTGCTTTGCATGGCTTTGCATTGTGTTGCATTGCGTTGCGTTGTTTTTGCTTGCATTGCTTTGCATTGCTTTGAACCTCTTGGTATTGGATTGCGTTGCTGTGCATTGTGTTGCTTTGAATTGCTTTGCGCCGCCTAGATTGCACCACATTGATTGCACTACTTACATTTATCAAATTGATTGCACCAAGCATGCACCGCATATTTTTTCAGCTATTCGGGGTTCACACTGTGTAACCTTTAGCTTTGCCTTAGGTTCGTCAACCTGTTCGGTGCGATGCCTCCCACCGCAGGCCCATATTCACGTCTTGGAGTCCAGAGCGGCCGGCAACCACTTTCTTCGGAAGGCCCACGATCGCCCCAACATTGCCTTGTCAGTGCTTCGGAGAGGCTTGCAGCAGGCCTCCAGACACCAGAGCGACGTCGGGACGATTCCCCAGCACGCCGCGCATCTTGTTACGCGCAACGGGAGCCGACAGGACCAAGCCGTCCTTGCGGTCGCGCGTGGCCGCGGTGGAGAGGCGCCTGCTGGCCCTGCACGGTTGGCGCGAGGCGCGTGGCGCGTCGGGATGATTGCCAATGACGCTGACAATGCCGACGGCGATAATGACGATGGCGACGGCGACGACGACGGTCACGATGACAACGGCGACAACATCAACGGTGACGACGATGGCAATGATGACACAGGCAACAGCAACGCTGACGACCACGCTGACGAGGGCGACGATGATAACGGCGACGACGTCGGCGGCGACGACGACGACGACGACGACGACGGCGCTGGCAACGGCGGCTGCAACGGAGTCGGCGACGGCGGCGGCGACGGCCACTGCGACGGAGACGGCAGCGGCGGCGGTGGTGGTGGCAGCGGGGGAGACTAAAGGTAGCGAGGGGCGCCAGGGATGCCGAGCACGGCCCCCGCCATCCAGCATTGCTGTTCACCACAGCGACTGCTGACCCTGCTGCGTCATGGAAATGTGGCGACGCCAGCGCGGGTTTTCGGTCTGGAACACCCTCCTAGGGCCGGTTTCCGAAGTGGTGGCTCACGGAAGGCAGTTTACGGCGCGAAGCACACATGGGGTCAAGAGCTTTGGGGGCCCCAGAGTGCCAGGATCCTCAAGGTCGAATCGGTGGCGCGGTGTCACAGCTCATAGCCCCCTGAGGACATGATTCAACCTTCGCTTTCTCTTTCATCCATGCCAAGTCATTCCAGCCACCAGTGAGAGAAGTCAAAGCGAGAACAAAGCGAGAGAAAGGATAGGAGACACGATTTTTGCGCGGCTAAGCGAGTGCCAGGGTCTGTCAAACAAGACGGTGCCATAAGACTCTTGCGGCGCAGCAGGCTGCTGAGTTCTCCCATGCGACGTGACACAAGCGACGGCGGCGACAATGGCAGCGAAACTTACGAGGAGAAGGATCATGGATTCTGGGATCTAGCCAACGTAAGACTGTGCCAGGCGGTCTGCCAATAGCAAGCCACGATACTCATAGTAATCATCATCAGGATATTCTGGTTTGGGGGTGGGCACACGTCACCCACCTTGCGATTGTCATGGGCTCCGATCCTTTTCGCCAATTCGATTCTGAATGGCATTTTGGAGACTTGCCAATGGGCGGGCCTTCGCTGGCTTTGAGCACCTCTGCTGGAATACCGTAAGTATTCCGATCCCTCTCGAAAGAACTGAGACCCCTGAGTGCAAGCACAAACTGGTGAATAAGAGCGATCCCTTTTCACAACAAGGCTCTCGCTTGAACTGCAAGCGTATGGGGCGCGCGTTTTTCAAAGGAGTGTTTCCTGTGGGTTGCAAAGAGAGAATCGTTGTAGGGACTTGGGACGGAAGGGTGTCTGGCAGCATCGATGTTGTATCCTGTGTTCACCCTGGTCACTGCTCACCCAAACCTCCCATCCTCACCATCCCTGCTCCTCCTCCTCGTCCTCTTTCAAGATCCGCATGCAGGTGGCTGAGCAGCGGGGAGGCCCCATTCGGCCGCCCGCGCGCACCTCGGCCCCCAGCCCATCTTTTGCGACCACGGGACTGGCGCGCGGCCGCGATCGCGCTCGCCCGCGTGGCGTCGGCGGGCCAGGCGGGAACGGGCCACTGCTCGTGTCCGCCTCCGCTCGTTGCAGGTGGCCCTGCCGCTGCGGCAGCACCACGGCAGCTTGGTTCCGGTCACGGGCAAGAATGGTGCAGGCCGCGGGGCTCCAGAATTGTATACAAGTTGTTCGGCTCGTGGACTGTGCGAATGGAATCCATTCCTGGTGCAGAGAGATTGTTGGAGCAAGTCCGCATCTAGCTCACCCTGCTCAAGGGCAAGAGACCGGAGGGAGCAAGGCTTACAAGAAGGAGACCGACCTGGCGTTGAGCTTGATGCTCACTGGCGCATAAGTTTCGTTTTCGAGCGCCATCCTGCTGAAGGCGCTCGAGGTCACGACCGACCCGCACCTCAAGGCAACGTTGCAGGCCGAGACGCAGTGACAGAAAGCGGCAAGACGCCCTGACCCAGCCATTCTCTGGGCTGGGAAGTCCACAGGCGCGCCGAGAGTGGCCTCGAAAGATGCCAACCAACGGCACGACCAGGCTACGGCGGCAGTGCAGCGTGCCACAGATCAGCTACATAAAACGCAAGCTCGAGAGGCAGAGATTGTCCAGCTGCTCGCCGAGGCAGAGATTGCCAAACGGATAGCCGTGCGTGCGCTAGCTATGGAAGTTGGCTTAACCACTGCGGTCTCGGCAGGAACGGCTGCCAACGGGGATGCTCCATTTCCAGAGTCGGGCAACGCGTTCGACGCCTTGTGGGACACCAGATTTTTCGAGGCCCTGCGCAAGAGCGAGTACGAGTGCGAGCAGAGCGAGACGGACGAGCTGCTGCGGCTGGAGCAGGACTTCAGGCAGGCCAAGACGCTCATCGGCGAAAGGGGCGAGAAGGCCACGGCCTGGAAAATCAGGATCGAGACCCTCCAGCGGTCGGCCCGCGAGCGCCTGGCCAAGACACGCAAGGGGACCGTCGGCACGCTCTTCGAGGGCGGCGCGGCCCTTCCAGCTGCCGGCAGCGAGCCCATACCTGGGAGCGGCAGCGGGGGGTAGTGAGGCGAGCCAGCTCCCGAGGTTCCCGGCCTGGAGGCAAAGGAGAAGCTCGACGCGGAGACTGGCAGGACCCGCGAGGCCCCAGCCACTGCGGCGGCGGCTGCTGTGACGGCCCGCCAGGCCACGGCAGCGGCGGCGAAGACGGCTGGCAAGGCTGGCGCGGGGGCGGCGGCATCCAAATGACCATCGATGGGGTGCGGCAGATTGCGCCGCCACTGGAGCGAGCGGTGGCAGATCCTGCCCCTCTTCATCTTCCTCATCCACGGAGCCCTCTGCTTCGGCGAAGGCAATGTGCAGCACAGCAAGTGCAGCGACGTCGTCGTCCCCCACACTGTCTACTTCAATTTCCACGGGTTCGTCGGCCTGGGCAGGCGAGAGCAGTAGTACCGAAACGAGGCGCGCCCAGGTTCAGGATGCGGCAGTTCTTCGTGGTGATTTTCAGACATCCGACGTCAGCGCCAACGACGCCTCCCAAGTCTTTTCAGCAACATTACCCATCGGCCGGTGACAGTGGGTATGTCTTTCCATTCCCAGAGCCTCTCAATGTACTCAGGCGCCTTCCTAGTTCAATCAACGAGCATGCTTCCCTTGTTCCTCCATTTTGAAGGGTTGGGCGGCCACCCAATATTCCTCCAGCGCCTTCCCACTTCATTTGTCGACCCACCTCTCCCGACCGATGGCTGCCATACCCGGCGGCAAGTCCTGGAATTATCTCGAGCGGTTGGCGGGTGCCCGTTCATATCGCTTATTTGCGCTGATGATCTGCACTGCCATTTCCTCCCGCGTTCCCCTCCCACCGCCCTTTCCGGGTCAAGCTGCACCGGCGAGAGGTTCGAGGGGCGGCTGCGCCAATTCTGCCCCTCCGCGAAGGGCTGCCGCCAACCTCTTGTTGTGAAGAAGTGTTCCACGTAGACATCTGGTAGCGGAGCTACCGTCGAACGGGCTTGCTCCACAGTGGGGCGTGTTGTCGCGAAGGTCGCGGCGGAAACTGCTTCGTTTGGCCCCCACGGTAACCTGAAGTCGGGCGTGTCCCTCTCCAGGAAGAATATTCACAAATAGTCCAACAATATTCGAGGGACGGTGTTTGTACTATGGTTGGCAATGTTTGGGCATTTTTTTCAGTGTTTTTAGTTTTTCTCCCCAAGCCCGCCTGCAGAGGGGACATGCCCGACCTGATGGTAGCCTGAGGAGCACCCTGTCGCCATCCCCGCCGATTGGTGGAAGAAAGAGAGTGGGTGTCCCCAGGGGTCTTTCTCGAGGCGCTCTGGGCTCTCCTGCCTTTGGTTTCCGCCGTCGTGAGCACAGTTCCCTCCAGTGGTTTTCACCACGATGGTGGTGTTGATGATGAGCAGTTCTTTATTCACGCGCCGTGTGTTCAATTCTGTCTGTCGCCATGCCCAGGTCGGCTTCGCACTGTTTTTTTGTTGACAGTTACCCGCAGGAGCGCTCCAGCAGCGCAGCTGCGTAGGATCAGAGGTCCTCTTCCCGATATTTCCCGTTTTCGTTCCGCGCTCCTGCCGGTCACAAGGGCCAGGGCTCTTGTGGCGGATGTTGCGGTTCGTTTGATTTCGGGAAGGCTGCCGGGCTGCCCGGGGGGCACGTGAGGCGCGTCAGACGAATAGGACCTGTGCTCCCTGCTGCTCCTGCTGCTGCCCCCCCCTTCCTGCTCCGAAGTTTGTCGCTCTTTTCGTTCTAAGACACTGTGCCGAATCTTACAGTAGAACAGTGTCATCGGTGCCGTGGCTCGTGCGGCGAGGCTGGTACAACCAATCGGCTGGCCACCGAGTGCTTCTCTCTGATTCGAGCGACCGACCAGACACTCAGGGTTCCTCGGTGTCGACGCATGTCTCTCGCTTCTCGCGGGGGGACGGGATCGCCGGTCTCACGGAATGGTATATCACGAATTGTTGGCCTTTTGGTATTGCAAGTCTTGAGGGAGGCTCAGTTCGTCTTGTCCCTGGGGGTTTTGCCGACAAGCGTTCGCCACCCGACTCCCAATTTACGAAGACCAGGGATGATATTGCGGCCGTATCTCAAGGAACCTCTGGCTCCAAGTTTTCAGCAAGGCTGAGAAGGCGGCCCGGGGTCGGTAATGAATACGGACACGGTTCGCGTTTGTTCTCATTTCATTTCTTTCAGAATCCATAATCGCCCTCGAATTTTTCCCAGGGCCCATGTTTTGGCAAGGTGTTCATCACATACTGATCTCTAATGGCTTCCATGGCCCGAAGAACGGGTTTCCAAAAGGCAGACTGGCGATTGTTCTCATTCGATCCTCCTTCGCCTCATTCTCCTCGGGGGCCTGCCAGTGTCTGGTGGCCAATGGGTCCCTCGAGTGTTCCGTGGGCAACACGAACTGCAAGATTGCCAGCAGTTGGTGGTCGTCCAGAGAATTGCCCCTTTGCTCGAGCTCGTGTCGAGCGATCGTGTGACTGCCGAAGCGCCGATTCGACCCGACCTGGAGGAGGGAGGGGGGAATGACGGAGGGATGGGGGAGGAAGGAGGGAGGACGGGACAGGAGGGAGGGGGTGGAGCGGGGGGAGGGAGGGATGGTAGCGAGGAGTGCAGGAAGGGAAGCAACAGAGGGAGGGCGTTGGGGAGGCATTTCAGATAGAGCCCCTCTGCTCCGCAGGCCGCGCCAGTGGGTGCCAGTGAGCCGGCGCCCCCGCCGTGCGGAGCGGCCTTGTGGCCCCTGGCCGCCGCGTCTGTCGAGGCGCCCGGCCCCCCTCTGCCGGTCGGCCCCCCTCGTGCAGAGCAGGGCGGGCGAAGACAGCGGGAGCTGTCCTCGGGGAGGGGGTGCCCTCGTGGCCACGGCTGGGCGCACTTGGCCCCCGGGAGGGGTCCGGGGGCCGAATTGGAGCTGCCGTTGCCTCAACCCGCCCTGCTCCGACTCGTGGCCAGGGGGCTGGCTTGGGTCGGCCGGGCGAACACCCAGGAGGCCACATGCGAACCCTACCCCACCACCACGTGATTTCTGAGAGGGGTTCGCATGTGGTCTCCTATCTGGCTCATGGGCAGGGGGCCGGCCTTGGTCAGAAGGGGAAGCCCCGGCTTCCGGCGGATTGATTTCGGTAGTTACGATCGATTCGCTACGATTCGGACGAAGCTGGTGACGAAGGCCGGCAGCAGTTCCTGCCGACTTTGAGCAGGGTTCTTTGTGGGCGTCCCCGCAGATGTTGTCAGTTGAGACACAAGGGTCGCTTGCCCAAGATCGGCCGCTGTCGGGTTTGAACAGCACTTGCTGTTGGACATCGTACCCATATTTTCCGCACGCATGTCGGTTGTGCAAATGGACTCCTCCGACAGTTCGATCACCGATCGGTCAAGAGAAAAAAACACAACAACATACATGTCTTTCGAATGTCCGAGTGGATGTGCTGCGTTGATCTTTGACAGTTTATGTTAATGCAGCCAGTTCGTCGTCTAACCGAAACGGGTAGCCGGTAGCTGGTGCCTCGGCAGCGCGCAGGGAGGCAAGGTGGCAGGGAGGTGGCAGGACAGCACCGCGTCGGCGGGAGGTTGCGCGGAAGAGAGGCATCGGACAGAGTTGCCGTCCGCGGAGTGCCCACCACGGTGGCGCTGACTGGCGGCGTGGTGGGAGCTCGCGCGCAGCTTCGGACGCAACGTTTCACTGGGCGGTGCCTGGGAAGGGGTCGCCGTCTGTCCAATTTCTGAGGGCTGCGGCCCATCCCGCCCATCCCCCGAGGGAGGCGCGCGGGCTCGATGGTGACAGTTCGCTCGTTCTCTCTCCTCTCGCCCTCCTCCGTGCCCGCTTGGGCTCCAGTGCCCCCTCCGTCCCGCTGGGCGCGGGGCGCGGCGGAGGATCCTGCGCCCGGCCGTCTGGGCGCGCGCATCGATGGCTGCGCAGACGTCCAGGACCGGCGGCTCAGGATCCGCCAGTCATCAAACATGATACAACCTCTAGTTTCGATTGGCGCATCTGCAAGAAAGACCCCCTTTAATCCCTAGTGTTCTTGCCCCTCCTCACTTAGGGCCCCTCCCAAAGGATTGGGGGTACCCTCGGGACCGAGACCCTGGGCAAGGCCTCGGGCAGGACACGCTTCGCCAGGCGAAGGGTAGCACCCTCGACGGCCCGCTGGGCCTCCTGTCTCGTGCGAGCTCACTTGTCAACCTGGGCCGCAGCATCAGCCAAGTACTTGTCCCACGAGGCGTCTGCGCGCATCTGCTCCTGCAGCGCGCGGTCCAGGGCCTTGGACTGACTGCGCTTGACCGCTTCCGCTGGTGATACCTCGACCTCGAGCAGCTGTGGTGGCCTGGCGGAAGGCTCATCGAGCGGCGCGCTAAACTAGGACAGCAGATCTGCAACCACGGTAGGCTGGAGAAGACCAGCAGCCGTCTTGAGTCTTGAGGCGGGAATGGTTTTCTTTTCCACTGTGGTGACGATAAGGGAACCTTCCGCACTCGCCACGGCGCGCAGGGCGACGACTATAAATCCAATGACCGCTCTTGCTCACGCCATGTAGACACGAGCCTTGTCGCCACGAAGCCGCGACCTAGCGGTCACTTCAGTCTTTCCGCTCTGATTCCGCGGACTACCAGGAGCACATTTTGGCGGCGTTATGATTAGGGTGCTTTGACTGCCGCGCTGGCAGCAGGACCCTGATCCTGTGAAGCTGGCGAGTTCTGCCGCGGACTGAGGGTATCCGATCTGCATGGAGGCTGATACATTTTATTTATATCTATATATATATATATATATGTGATATTTGGATCCAAAGCGGCTGCGGACTGGAGGAGGAGGGAGGAGGGGAGGGGGGTGAGGGGAGGAGGTTGGCTTCGATTGGCTGCGGAAGAGTTCGACCCCCTCCCATCCACACCCCGCGCAATCGCAACAACGGGTGCTGCGGCTGTTCGTGTTCGCGTGCACATTGTGACGACGGTGTGCGGCACGTAGGGTATATGGGCGAATTCGGCGGCGGCGGACGATGGCAGGGTCGTCAAGACGTGCTCAATTCTAGGCAACTCTGTTGAGAGGATCCTCGGGACCTGTACAGAAAGAGAGGGCCAGGGCAACTCACATAATCAAATTTTGAAAGAAATCTGACCTGACCATGGGGCGACACGCCTGTGGCATCGTTCTCTGGCAGCAGCGCGGTTGGCTGCTATCCTGGCCAATTTGTCAGCTGTGAGGACGGGGCCAGGGGGCGGGGGAGGGGGAGGGGCCGAAAGAGGCGAGGCGGGGAAAGGAGAAGGGGGAACCCCGTCCTCATGGAAGAAAGACGGGTCTCCGGCCTCGTTGGGCATGGCGACGGGGCGGCTGCCTGCTGCTGCCTCGGCTTCTTCCGCCTGGGTGCATTCCTGCGGCGGTGGGTGGCCGGATTCTTCGGCCGGGGAGGGGTGGGAGCCAGCAGGAGGCGAGGGCGGGGGAGGAATCCAACGGCTTGCCTCTGGATCACCGCGCTTCCTGGAAGTTGCGGTGTGTGCGGCGAAATTTGGGGCTTCCCAGAAATCATCCGACACATCTACCCTGAACTCAGATAACCCTGTATCTGCAATATCCTCCCCCTCCTCGGGAGCCACATCCGAGGTGGGGGGAGGAGGTGGGGTATCTTCTTCCGCATCCGATGGCCATGCGCTGCGTCGTACATATCTTGAGCGATCGGTGCGCACATTCTTTCCGGGTACGTCTTTTTGGCGCTGGTCGTGAAGGTGCGGTTATCTTCACTTTTGCCCAGCAGTGTGGTGTGGATTCCCCGTCGTGGCAGCTTTTCCCCCCATTGACGGCTGTGAGATACTGGTACATCCTCGGGAGCCTCAGGGCGAGAATTTTGGTGGGGGCTCTACTTATGGTCTCTGGCGGATCGTCCTGCAGCGTACACTGATCGAAATCCATGGCAACTGGGCAGCGCTCGATCGACCTAGGTGGAAGCCACGTGAAGCTGGAAACTGCCTGTGCTTTCCACACTGCTGGCTACGGATGCTCCAGCCACGCACACGTGCCTGCTCTGACATGCTCTTCCATGAGGAGGATGAGGGAGTGTAGCAACTGATTTCCTATCTCGAGCTGGAGCGGCTGTTTGTCCGTGCTCCATGGTACCCCCCAGTAGTGGGCGTGTGTCCTGAGCGGGGGGGTGGGTACCCCCCAGTAGTGGGCCCTCTTCCCAGCGTGCTGCGCTCCAGGTCTCACATGCCCCCCCCCTCCCCCCTGTGACCCAGATTATCCGTGCTCTGATGTGAGGGAGGAGGGAGGAGGGGAATGGGGTGAGGGGAGGAGGTTGGCTTCGATTGGCTGCGGAAGAGGTCGACCCGCCTCCCCTCCACACCCCGCGCAGCCGCAACAACGGGTGCTGCGGCTGTTCGTGTTCGCGTGCACATTGCGACGACGGTGTGCGGCGGCAAGCAGGGTATGGGCGAACGCAGGGAGGAGGGATCACGTCGCAGCTCAACATTTGTCACTTCGGTGTCATTGCGCGGTGGTTTCATGCATGACGTCTTTAGAGCAGAGATGGTCCATGACGTCTGTGGAGCAGAAATGGTTTACGTTTCCTGATCTGGCAGGTGCCTGCAGTGGCTTCCGCGGCATCTACGCCCGTGGCAGCAGCGGCTCAGTGTGATTGGGGTCTTGCATCAACGCACGCTGGGCGGTCTTTTGTGGGGGGGGGGCTGAACAGTTCCTCCCTCCTCCCCCTCGTCCGCTTCCTTGCTCCTCCTTCTCCCTCCTCTCCCTCCCTTCCTGTCTGAGGGAGCCTGGGTGGCCGCGCTTCTCTCTTATGGACGCGTCCACGGCCCGCGCCTGTGCAGGACAGATCCGTCCATGGCCCCTTCGCGATCCCCGCTGCGACCCCGCCATGCCTTTGCAGCTGTGTGTGCATCTACAGGTCCGCGAACATCGCCGCGCTTCACGCGTCGCTGCCCGGGGTGGAGGGGCGTTCTTCCCCAGAAGCTTTCAGCAGGACAGCTTGAACGCGCGAAGACAACCGCGCTTCGCGAAGCGCGAAGCTCGCATGCCTCTCTCATTCCCCGTCCAAGCAGCGTTAATGAGGAGCGTGGCGCATCCCACAACAGGACCCCTGGCTGAGTAGGAGTGGTCATAGGGGCTCCAGATTCAGACACGCACGCACCCACTCGTCTGTTCTTTCCTTTCTTCTTTCTCTCCCCGTCCCTTCCCCCTCCCCCGTTTGCTCTTCTCCCCCGTCTCCGCACCTGCTTCCCATGCCCCCCCTTCCACTCCCCCTGCACTTCCCATCCCACTCCTGGGGAGCCCACTCGTCGCCACGGCTGGGTGCGACAGCTCGACCAGCTCGTCGTGGCAGTCATGGGGAGGACAAGGGGGGACTGGCTCTTCTCACCCCGTCCTCCTTTCTCTTTCTCCCCCCCTGGTCCTTCATTCTCCCCCTCTTCACCTGCCTTCCTCCTCCCTCCTCTCTACCCTCTCTTCTCTCTCCTGCCTTCTTCCTGCGTGCACTTCTGGGCCCCCGTGTCAGGCCGTTCGCCTTGGCTGTGAATCATTGGCGAAGTTGTGAACTGTGGTGGACTCAGTGCGCCGTTTCGCGACTTGCACCATTCGCAGAGTGGCGCACAGTACAGGGGAAGTTGCTTCGGTTGTCAAGTGCGCAGACACTGTCACTCCCAGGTCGGCAGCGCAGATGGACCAGACCCAGGCAGCATCTCGTTTGGTTTCGTAGGCCGTGGCGGCTTGGTGGTGTTGGCATCTTTTTTCTTGCAGGAACACGACGTTGCGAGCAAGAGACGCGACCAGAAGTCTCGACCCCAATCTCGATGCGGGAACAGTTCCTTGGTGGTGCTGGCACCCTCTTTCGTGCAGAATCACGCCGTTGCGAGCAAGAAACGCGACCAGAGCTCTCGACCCCAGCTCGATGCGGGAACAGTCCGTGAGGGTCCAGGAGCCCGAAACGGATGCCAACGTGTTGTGTGTGTTTTTTGTTGGCGACGTCGAGATGTCAGGCCCACTCCCCTCCCCCCACCAAACCTCCGCTCAAACTCTACCCCCTGACCCCTCCCGCGGCCGTCACGGAAGGGGTCGGTTTGGCCGTGCCCGCGACGACCTTTTCCTTGGGGATTGGCGTTGCATCCCGACCCGTTCTGTTAGCGGAAGCCCCGAGCGCTGAAGGTCGTAAATAATCTCCATTTGATGTTGTTTGGTCTATCGTTTGGTGCGTAACGGTCGGTACCCGGCCCCCCCAAGATAACGCGTCGGGAGCCTTGAGACGGGGGTCAATGCAAACGGGGGTCAGCCAGAGCGCCCGATCTTGCAGGATCCTGCAGCGCCAGGGTCGCATTGACCCGGGTTTGGGTGCAGGATCCTGCAGGATTTTGTAGGACTTTGCAAGGCTTGACTGACCCGGGTCTGGATTGACCTGGGTCAGAAGATCCCCGAACGCGGGCGGGGCCGCCCTCCACATGCTGGCGCTCGCGTGCAAACTATAGCAGTCGCAGCGCACCCACACCCCGACGCGCCCCACCCCGCCCAAGCGTCGGGGATCAGAACTCCTTCCCCAGACGGGTCCAGTGAAGCAGTCCGGACAGAGTTTCGAGGCGAATACACACGGGAGTCGTGGGAGACCCAAGGATCGCGCGAACATGTCGATCCTCGTACACGGGACGTGGGAGACCCAAGGATCGCGCGAACATGTCGATCCTCGTTCCTCGAGCCTGGAAGGTCGAGTCGAAAGGCGGCCCCCCCCCCTCCCAGGCTCAGAGGAAAGAGAAGCGATACCACCACCACGAAGCCGGGGTTTGCTAAAGGTGCCCCTGGCCCAAGGTGCCCCCGGTTTCTCGCTCCATTTGGGAGTCCCTGGGGCCCTCTGGACCTCGTGCAGGGTGCTCTGGAGGCCGCGGGGGCCTCCTTGGAAATCCTGGGGGCACCTTGGTCCAGGTGCACTTCTAGCAACGCCCGACCAAGGCGGACCACCTTGCGCGAGGCAGTCCACAAGGCCTCCCCGAGGCTGGAGGCTGCAGAAGCCTCGAGCCGGGCAGGGGGTCCGCGCCACAGGTCGCCCTCCCCCCCGCCATGGCATCTCGCGCTGGTCGCGGCTCCAGGCCTCCCACGTGGGGTGCGAGCAGATGCATCGGCCCATGGCGGCTCGGTATGCCAGGCGATCGCAAGCATGGGTCAATGGGGCGCGGATTAGCGACAGGCCCCGTTTCCATGGGAAATCGCAGGTGTCCGCCGCCGAGCGAGGCGGCACTGGCCACATTTTTGGGAGGGCACCTCCCCCGATCCATGGACTTGGCGACCGCGCGCCAAATCGATGGAGCGCTAATCCATGTTTGCGCGCCCCCGAAATCCATCCCCAAGACTGCAGACTGCAGAAGTCTCGAGCTGGGCAGGAGGGCCACGCCACCCATCGCCCCCGCCCGCGGCTTCTCGCGCTGGTCGTGCGAGCAGATGCATCGGCCCATGGCGGCTCGGTATGGAGCCTGACTTTCTCCGCGCCGACGTCGCCGATGCATCGGCGATGCGGTGCGATCCCCCGACGCCATCTGCTGTCCACTCGGGCCCCACTGGGGAGGCCTCCAGTGGTAGTGTCGCTTCCCCCTGCCCCCATCACGAGGATCGAGGATCGAGGATCGAGGATCGAGCAGGAGGAGGAGCACCGAGGAGGAGCAGGAGGTGGCGGATCGAGGGCCGATCCCATCAGGTGACGACGCGGCGGTGCCCGCCGCCTCGCCGCAGGCCCTGGTCGACCCGTGGGCGGTGCCCGCCGGCCCCTGGACGGCCCCGGCCGACCTCCGGGCGGCGCCGGCCGATCCCTGGTCGAAGGCCAGCGCGAGCAGCTCGCCGGTGCGGAGGCGTCAGGCCGCGCCGTGCCGACCGCGCTGGAAAGGAGGAGGAGGAGGAGGAGGAGGAGGAGGAGGAGGAGGAGGAGAGGAGGAGGAGGAGGGGGGAGGAGGGGGGGAGGGAGGAGGAGGGAGGAGGAGGAGGGAGGAGGAGGAGAGGAGGAGGAGAGGAGGAGGGAGGAGGAGGAGGAGGAGGCGGGGCGATCCTCGGCTATCCCCGCGCCGTGCCGACCGCGCTGGAAAGGTGAGGGCGGAAGAGCCACCCGGACTGGCCAATCGGCGTTTACTGAACGGCCCTGGGCGTTTACCAGACAGCCCTGCCCTGTTCGATTCCTTCTTCGGGCGCGTTTGCTGAAGGCCTCGCGTGTCGGGGTGGTTACTATCGGGGTGGATTTTCTGCCCTCTACTCGGGGGCAACGACGGGGGACTGACCCAGGGGGGAGGGCATCGACCCCCACCCTCCCATGCCTCGCCGATCTGGGCCCTGCCCCGCCCAGGGGCGTGCGGTTTCGCCATCGACAGATTCACTCGCCGACCTGTCGGCGACGTGTCGCCGATTTCAAGCCGACGCTTCCCCCTATGATCCAGCCCCCCCCCCGATCGTTCATGATCGTGGCCCAGGTTCAGAAGGTCAGCGCTGACGGGGGTAATCCAATCTCGGAGGAGGGCCAGTCGAGACTCATGGGCGGCTCTCCCTTCTGGTACGCTTGTTCAACACACTTGCGCATCACATTCGCAAATGCATTGGTGACGAATGCCGATTACCCACTTCGATTGCCAAATCTGTCGAGCAGATTCCCAACATCATTTCTCAACCCCCCTTCTGCCTCGCCCCCTTGCACCTCCAGTGGTTCTTTGCCGTCTGGTCGTTCCTTCATCTCCCTTTGCCTCTTGGTCTCCCCGTCCCTCCACTCCACCCGGCGGCAGCTGGGAGGAGGGTCATCGAGGGCCTCGAAGGATACAGTCCGCAGCTCGAAGCCCGACGGAGGAGGAGGAGGAGGAGGAGGAGGAGGAGGAGGAGGAGGAGGAGGAGGAGGAGGAGGAGGAGGAGGAGGAGGAGGAGGAGGAGGAGGAGGAGGAGGAGGAGGGAGGGAGGAGAGCGGGGCGATCCTCGGCTATCCCCGCGCCGTGCCGACCGCGCTGGAAAGGTGAGGGCGGAAGAGCCACCCGGACTGGCCAATCGGCGTTTACTGAACGGCCCTGGGCGTTTACCAGACAGCCCTGCCCTGTTCGATTCCTTCTTCGGGCGCGTTTGCTGAAGGCCTCGCGTGTCGGGGTGGTTACTATCGGGGTGGATTTTCTGCCCTCTACTCGGGGGCAACGACGGGGGACTGACCCAGGGGGGAGGGCATCGACCCCCACCCTCCCATGCCTCGCCGATCTGGGCCCTGCCCCGCCCAGGGGCGTGCGGTTTCGCCATCGACAGATTCACTCGCCGACCTGTCGGCGACGTGTCGCCGATTTCAAGCCGACGCTTCCCCCTATGATCCAGCCCCCCCCCCCGATCGTTCATGATCGTGGCCCAGGTTCAGAAGGTCAGCGCTGACGGGGGTAATCCAATCTCGGAGGAGGGCCAGTCGAGACTCATGGGCGGCTCTCCCTTCTGGTACGCTTGTTCAACACACTTGCGCATCACATTCGCAAATGCATTGGTGACGAATGCCGATTACCCACTTCGATTGCCAAATCTGTCGAGCAGATTCCCAACATCATTTCTCAACCCCCCTTCTGCCTCGCCCCCTTGCACCTCCAGTGGTTCTTTGCCGTCTGGTCGTTCCTTCATCTCCCTTTGCCTCTTGGTCTCCCCGTCCCTCCACTCCACCCGGCGGCAGCTGGGAGGAGGGTCATCGAGGGCCTCGAAGGATACAGTCCGCAGCTCGAAGCCCGACGGAGGAGGAGGAGGAGGAGGAGGAGGAGGAGGAGGAGGAGGAGGAGGAGGAGGAGGAGGAGGAGGAGGAGG